ATGAAACGATTGCTGGGAAGGAAGCTGGACCTGCCAACAGCTGGACTTTCTTTCCTCTGCTACAGCCAGAGGTCAGCTGACATTACAATCATGAAAAAAAGACCTCTCTTCCATGTTTGGACAGTGAAGCTAATATGTTGTATTGAAAGCTAGCCTGTGAGATGCAAGTCCAAAGCCAGCACCGTTTTGGAAACGTAGATTACCATAGTCTGCATTCACATGATTGAAGGATAGATTTCACAGTACTATTTTCTCTAGTGACCAAAAGCACAAATTCTTAGAGGAAGTAGTTTGTAGGGATCCTTAGTGTGGGCACTGATAGATCATTCTTTTTTTATCTTTTCCTTATTTTAGTTACACAAAAATAGCATTTGCATATAGGTATTGTTGTCTGGATATTTTTTTTCTTTCCTTTTTCCTTTTCATGTGTAATAATAAGAGAATTTGGTTTCCTTCGACAGGTGCCCTCACTATAGTGATTCAGTGTCTCTGTGGCTGTGTATGCCCCTCCTCTTCTTGTTTCTGCGGGTTCTCTCGTTGTAGAATCCTGATGAATTGATTATATATATTAGAAAGATAAGTTTGATATTGATCTATGTACATTTTTAGGTCTCTGTGATAGTGATCCAGTCTCTGTGGCTGTACATGCCCTGTATCCTTGGCTTGCATTGCATTACATCTTTAGGTCTTCTCATACTGTTGGGTTTGGTGCGGAAGGGTCAACCTTTGTACATGCAATCACAGAGGAATTTGGTTTATATGCTCTGTTTAGATATGTCACCACTGTGTTTCAAAATGTTGTGTGCGAGTTAGCTATAGCTGGCCTGGAATACGGATTTTACATACCGTGACAGAAATCCCAACGCCAAGAATAGCTGGGGGTTAGAGAATTACACTGGTGCAGTAAAAATCACTGTTGGTGGGGTACTGCATTGAATTTCTGCTGCTGGGAAGACAAGAATAGCGTGATGGTTAATAAATGGAGATGTGTGGAATGGAGAGGGGGGGTAGCAGTGGTGGAGCACCGTAGGGCACAGAGGAAATAGGAAATACGGTGTAGGGGTACTAAGATTATCGATACAGTCATGGTCATATGTGGCTGATGCCATGCCAGCACTAGGTATGCTGGCTTGCCATTGCCTGTATTGGCAACAGAGGATAAGGCAGGCAAATAATTCTGTTAGGTAACGGCCAAGTGTCATGTCTCTGTCGCACCTACCTATCCTAACAAGTGAACCGACAGAAAAGAGAGGAACAGGCTGTCCCGTGTGACCATCAGAACTGACTGGCTTCTTCTTTGTCCACAAACCTGTTACTATTTAGATTTAGATTTAGAGTTAGAATTAGATGATGATGGGTGATGACAAGGTTATTTATAGATAGATAGATCCTTCTCACGTTGGAAATCAGTGGCCTAGGAACAGGGAGTGAATCTGGCTGCTAATCAGATGTTGTTATTACCTGTAGTTTTAGGGAGGCAACTAAGAAATCATGTCGAGGCGAGGCGAGGAGAGTGTCATGGTTGTCTCTTGGCATGCCTCTGCTTTGCTTCCAGCGTGCATTCCCTTTTGTCGATGAATCTTTATTTTCTATCTCTACAATACCTTGGTTTGCTAATATTGTCAATTTTCTAGTTTCAGGACATTTGCCAGCTTATCATAATAATAATAATAATAATAATAAGATAGTAGCCAAAACGCGTCGTGTTTCTCCCTCCCTGCATTTGATGCCTTCTTTATTTTCTATAAGAAAGCCCTTCTTGTTGTGGTCATTGGGCTATTAGTGGCATTGAAGTCCCACAGCCCATTGTTATTCAAATATTGTCCTGATCAAATACTTTTATTGGGATGGTAAATCATGCTCGACAAGTCATCAATCAGGCCTCTACACACACACACACACATACATACAAGTTTGATCAATCAGGCCTCTACACACACACACACATACAAGTTTGTGTTCGTTTATAATTGTACGATTAAACTAGATCTGCAGCTCCCTCATTTTATTTTTTATGTAAAAAAAGCCATAGGTTAAAAAAAAAAATTGAGTCGCTAGTTAAAACAATAATTTAAACAACAAAAAGAATAAAAAAATAAACTAAAAAAATAATCATACCTGAACCTATTTAGATTATTAAATAACCTAATACTAACCTAACAGGAAAAAAATCATATAAAATATAGTCAAACTTAAAAAAAAAAACATAAGTTTGTAAAAACTCAAATGAAACCTAGTCTAATCTAAAATATTTGTATCGTATTAAATCATAGACCTAGGTTAAATCAAGAAACTTAGATACCATCAACTTTAATTTTAAATAATAAAATAGTTGAAAAACTTATTAATAAAAAAACTTGCGGCACCCCTTATCACCCCCAGATAAGTGGACAAAGTTGGCATTATGCAAAAGAAGAACAAAAAGAAAAAAGGCTAATAATCAAATATTTTATTTTTATCAACTTTATTTCAAAAGAAGAACAAAAAGAAAAAAGGCTAAAAATTGAAACCCAATGAGGATGAATCTAAAAAAAACTTTTATTTCAAATAAAAAAATAGTAATTAAAAAAATTAGAACCAAAATTGAAAAATTAGAAAAATCTTAAAAGGTGAAATTAAAAATCATTTGTAACATGATAGATTATTTATAAATTAAAAATTGATAGGGGGTAAAATAAAAAACAATTATTGAAGACTAATCCAATATAATCAAACAAAAATAATAAGAAAACAAGAGTAAAAAAATTAAACCGAAAAACAAAAAAAAAAGTTAAAAAAAGGATAGAAAATAAGAAAACATTATTTTAGAAAAAATAAAAAAATAGAAAAAACTTCTTAAACTTGGCCTAATCTATAAAATTTGCATCCTGTGAAATTATTGATTCAAATTCAATCTAAAAGCATAATTCTTAAACAATTTAATTTTAAAGGATGAGATCAGTAGAAAAATATTAATTTAAACAATTTAATTTTAAAGGATGAGATCGGTAGAAAAATATTAATAAAAAACCTGTAAAAATAACAAAAAGAATTAGAAAAAAATTTGATAGAAAAAACCCAACAAGGATGCAATTTTATGAAAAAAATAAAATAAATATCTCAAATAAAATAAATATCAATTAAAATAAAAAAATATCAAATTTTAAAGATTAAAAAAATTACATGGGATAAAATTAAAAATATTTGTAAAAACCAACCAAACCCGGACAAATATCCTAAACATGGTTAAATCTTCAAAAGCTTGTAATCTATGAAACCCTAAATCCGAATCCTATCAAGAAATTTATTGTATGCCAATTTAAAAATATAAATTTTAAAAACTTGTCATAGAAAAAATTAACAAAAAAGTTTTGAGCGAATTCAATGGCCAACCGGGTCAACAAATCAAATCTATAACCTAAAACATAAAACTGAGATGATCATATAAATAGGAAAGTGAAAAAAATACTAGCAAAAATATATTAAAAAATGCTTTAAAAAAATATGGAAGTCGACTCGAGCTAATCATACATATTTTTTACCTAATAAAAGCAAACCTAAAAAATAAAGAAGCAAGATTCTTAATCAAATAAATATTAATAGATAAAATTAAAAAAAATCAATAAAATAAAAATGTAAAAAAATAGTAATTAAAAGACTTTGGACTAAATTCAATATAAAAATTAAATGAAATTAAATGTTTATGGAAAAGTCAAATGAAATTAAAGAAATTGTAAAAAAAATCCATTAAAATAATGATTAAAAATAGTAATTAAAAGAATTGTGACCAAATTTAACATAAAAATTAAATAAAAATAAATGACTAAGGGTGGAATTGAAAAAAAAATCAATCAAGAAAATGATTTAAAAAATAAATAGCAATTAAAAAAATGATTAAATTTAAAAAAATAAAAAAATCAAATAACCAAGAATGAAAGTGAAAATAAAATCCAACTAGAAATAATTAATATAAATAAAAAAAATTACAAATAATAAAAGAGGAACTAATCAAAAGAAAAAATAAATTGAAAAGTTAGTATGAGTTTTTGCATTACTAGCACGCAATCCTAAAATAAAATAAAAAAAGCAATTTTTTTATCAAACCTTGCAAAACCACCACACATACATCACTTATAGAAAAAGAGAACGCGAGTACAAATCAAATAATATTGTAAAATCATAATCACAATCAGTAAATCCAACCACATATGATTTTAAAAGACAATGAAAAGTGAAAATATACTTAGAACTAAACAATAATAACTGCTTTCTGAACAGTTATTCTCTTTTTTTTTTTTTTTTAGATTAACGTGGGTGTCCGGGCCAGATTGTGTGCACCACGACTAATCCCACGAGCCCTGAAATTAACACCCATGTAAGTCTCCAATGGCCATCATAAGAGCAATCAAGAACTCGAACCTGAGACCACAGAGGAAGCAAACCCCTTAATCTCAAATCCTTACCATTTAGCCACCACCTAGATAGTTCTGAACAGTTATTCTTGAATGTATAGGTGCTTGTTTGAGAATGTGACAAATGTTAAAATGTATTAAAATAATATTTTTAAAAATTATTTTATATATTAATATATTAAAATAATTTAAAAATATAAAAAAAATAATTTAAATAAAAAATATTCAAAAAATAGCGGTACAGTTATTCACCCTCGTCGCTGAACAGGCCCTGAATATTCCGAACCAGAGTGACCCTGCCATGACGAACGACAATTTCAGCAATGATAAAATCATATGCTCTAGTTTGCACTGAAAAAGACAATATGGCTAATAGAGAACCCATATACCACTCCATGTTTGTGTTGTCTGGTCCACTTATCCATGCCATTGGATCCTATCTCAGTCACAGGAACCTTATGATCGCACAAATTTCATGTTTAGTGTTGAATGGAAAAGGACTTGCAACTACCAGCACCTCTCCTGCTTTGACATGTAGTTGTATTCGCAGCCAAAATGATCAAGCTCAAGCCTACTGGATACGCTGCCAGTAAGCTATTTATTCATCCATTAATTAGACTAAACTTCGTGCAATTAATGGCTGTTTTTTTGGGTTGGACCTGCTGCATGCTGTGCTAGTTACACTTCTGTTTGACTGCTAAGCGCATATTGATTTTAGGTCCACCACTTTGCTGTCAACATGGAAGACTTCACTAAAATGCCAATGGACTGCTGGCATTTTTTCAGAAAAGCAGCGGACTCTTGTTTTGGTATGTCAAGGTGTCACCTTTCATTTGATGCGATTTGTTTTTTTTTTTTTTTGTTGATTGGAACTGCTATGTTTTACTTGATAATGATGGGTATTGTTAGATTGAGGCACTGAGCAATTCGGAATGTTATTGAGTTCATATTTCTTCAACAGGAAAGGAATTTTGTTATCTTGTAACAGTTCTTCCTAGGTGAACTCCTGTTAATTGGCTAGTCTTCTATTTTGAATGGCAATGTCTTCAATATTGTGTGAGAATGCAGGATAATTGAATCTTGTTGTGTTTTCAGGGTTTCTAAGCTGCAAAGGAAATTGCAATGGCTCCTTTAGTGAAAGTGGTTCTAGGCACATTTGCCTTTGCAGTATTCTTGGTGCTGGCAATTTTCCCTGCTGTTCCATTTCTGCCCATTGGGAGGACTGCGGGATCTCTTCTAGGGGCAGTACTCATGGTTATTTTCGAAGTCATATCTCCTTCTCAAGCATATGCCTCCATTGATCTTTCAATTCTTGGCCTTCTCTTTGGAACAATAGTCGTAAGTGTCTATCTTGAAAGAGCAGATGCATTTATGTACTTGAGCAAACTGCTGTCATGGAAGAGCCTTGGAGCAAAGGATTTAGTTTGTAGAGTCAGCTTATTATCTGCCATTTCAAGTGCTTTCTTTACCAATGACACTTCTTGTATGATCTTGACTGAATTTGTACTCAAAGTTGCAAAACAACACAATCTCTCGCCTCAACCTTTCTTGGTTGCTCTTGCCTCAAGCTCAAATATTGGGTCATCAGCAACTCCAATAGGCAACCCTCAAAACCTGGTTGTTGCTGTAAATGGTCAGATTCCTTTTTTGACTTTCTTTGTTGGAATTGCACCTGCAGCACTTGTAGGAGTTTTTGTGAATGCTGTAGCTATCATATGTATGTATTGGAGAGAGTTATCCTCTCATCTCAAGGAAGAAGAAGATGCAAATGTGGAAGTTGTTCCTGATGATGACACGAGTTTCTACAGGTTTTTGCCAGCCACATTGCCACATTTCCCACGCTCAAGTTCTCAAGAAAGAAGCTTCATGTTGGATATGCAGGGCTCGCCTTCAATTCATGGGAATTCGGCTTATTTTAACACGTTAAGATACAGATCTGGTGCTAGTGAGACTGACATGTTCAGGGTTCCCAGTATTATGTTAGAGTCTGCAGGAAACTCGAGAGCATGCTCGAAATGGAAACCCATAATGTGGAAATCTTGTGTGTACCTGGTGACTCTAGGGATGTTGATTGCTTTGGTGATGGGAGTAAATATGTCATGGACTGCAGTCACTGCTGCTGTTGCTCTAATGGTTCTTGATTTCAAGGATGCTCAGCCATGCCTAGAGAAGGCAAGACACCAAACTTGATACTTCCGTTATTTTCTACCTGTCTTCTTTGTTAGTTAATGAAGATTTTTACTGGTCTGTCAAGAACCTGAAGCCTTGAATCTTTCTTCTTACATTTGGCCAGGTTTCCTATTCTCTTTTGATTCTCTTTTGTGGGATGTTTATGACAATTGAAGGCTTCAATAAAACTGGATTTCCAAGCTGTTTGTGGGAATTCGTGGAGCCCTTCGCACAAATTAACCATGCTAGCGGGATAGCAGTCCTTGCAGTTCTCATCCTTATCCTCTCAAATGTGGTGTCAAATGTACCAACTGGTATGTTCATACTTCCTTTTCTCCAAGCCCTAGTTATCCATTGAATGAGATTGGCATGCATGCATGGACCCAAATTATTCTGATCAATGCAACTTCATGCATATATAATGCACGTCATCCATTTATGGGGCATTGTGACATTAATTAATATGACTGAAAAGAAACATAAAAGAAGTTTATGGTAACTCTGCCGACCGTCTCAGTTCTCTTACTGGGGGCTCGGATGGCAGCATCGGCAGCTTGTATTTCCCCGGATTATGTGAGGAAGTCATGGCTGATTTTAGCGTGGGTGAGCACAGTGGCAGGCAACCTCTCGCTATTGGGTTCGGCTGCCAATATGATAGTGTGTGAGAAGGCAAGCCGTGCCCCAGATCTTGGTTACAATTTATCTTTCTGGAGCCATCTCAAATTTGGAGTCCCCTCCACCATTATCGTCACTGCTATTGGTTTGACAATCATTAGATAGTTCCTATTTTCTGGTTACGCCGAGAGAACTTCGCGCTACAGTTGCCGATTCATTCTATCCTTCTTATTTTATGGATAATCTTGTAATATTTTGTTTGGCTTGAAAATACACTGAACTGATATATATTTTTATTTTTAGTAAAGTACAGTTTTAACTGCATATAGATCGCAGCCTCACACCACTTTGTTCTCCCTCCCTCAAAAAATGCAAATGTTTTTGGGCTCAGAACCCTCTTTGGGACTAAAAACCCTGTTGTCAACAGAGACAAGCGACCTCGGCGGCTAGGGTTATCTAAGCCTTTTAAAAGAATAAGTAAAAGTATGATAGTAGTATTTTTTATTTAAAAATACATGTTAAAATAATTTAAAATTATTGAAAAATATGAATTTCAAACAAAAAAATATTTTTTAAAAAAATACACTTAAAACATAACAATAAATGATAGTTCAAGTGCCGGCCACTGCATGTAGTGGTATCGATTGCATCTCTTTGACATCGGTTGTTAGGAGCCCACATGAGCTCTTCATCCTAAACAACCGAAAGTCAAATGGATATTTAAAGAGAGAATGTCAAAAAGGTGATATCTCAGACAAGAAAAACCCACAGGCACAAGTTCCACGACAAGCGAGTGCCCATGAAGAGCATATGCAACTTGAGTACTTCTTTCCAAACATTTTGTGCCAGAATGAGAAATCAATCCATCATGCCCACTGGGTTGATCAAGATGCGTTTGATTAATGTTTTGATGCAGAAAAGGACATAAATGCATTGCCGATGGAGATAAATATAAAGACATGGGATGGATATGCTTTTGAAGTATTTTTGGAATTAATTTATATGTTCTCAAAACAAAACACATCTCTCGTATTCTCACGGCTTTTGTGTTCAAACAGTGACCAAACAGTTTTCAAAGGGAACAAATTCTTGCACAGCAGCCACATGCTGAAAGCGAAACACATGCACATAGGCATATCACATGTGCTGGTGTTTCTTGTCACAGGATGGCCATGGAGTTCAGCTGTGTAACTCAGAGGGCGGCAGCTCTGCCATGTTGCCAGCAACAAGTTAAGAGAGATGATGAGAAAGTAGATGGGACCTGTGGGCACGTGTAGGGCTGATGGTGTGGTGGGGCTAAATCTTTAGGACCCCACTGCCTTCCTTTTCGACCCTTGGGTACATCTCCCCTTCCATCTCCGTCCCCATCTACCGTCGCAGGCCCGCCCCTTCTGTCACATTCCTATTGCAGACCATGCCTCCATATCACATCTCGCCATGTGTTTTCTATGCTTCCTTTCATTTCAGCCACTATCTTCGAGTTTTTGTGCACAAAAAAACCTCTCAGATTGAGTGTGTGTTACGTCTAGTGTTCCACGAGGGTACCCGCCTGAAAAGACATTAAAAATATCCGCACAAAGAAAATCAGGTTGGATAAAAAAATAAAAAAACATTAAATCTATATATTTTTGGTTTTTTTCCTGTATTTGTATCCATATTCCGCAAAGAATAAATAATAATTTTTTAAAAAATATAAAATATAAAAAATTTATTTTAAAAGTTTTGAGTGTTGTAACAATATTAAACTCAATAATCTTGTATATGATAGTTATGCTAGACCGAAAAGCATGAAATCTTACAAACAAGCTTAACCCTATAAGGTCTAGTTACAATGTCTGACCTGGTGCTAGGGACGGAGCTATAATTATTTGTTAAGGGAGTCAAAATTAATATAACAAGATATAATATTTGTTTTAATTTATTATGCATGAGTTGTAAAAAAACCCTGTATAATTTAGTTTTATTCAAATAACTTACTACAAACATATAATGATCTTTGTATAAGATAAAAGGTTTGGAGCAATATCGAATTAAGTCAAAGCAATGAAGTTAATTTCATCTTCATAATATATCCATCACGTTAATGTTATTGATCTTTATACCTATCAAATATAAACATACAAAGTATATAAGAAACATTAGCTAAAGCAAAACATTATTTATATTTGATAAACTTTGAAATAGAGTAAAAAATAATTCTTACATATTTATTTTAATTGGACTCATCGTTCTTTCATATAATAGAAATAATCGATTATCATATCAATTATGAATCTTTCAACAATTTTTTTCTATATAGACAATCAAATAATTTGCAAGAAAATCATTCTTCATCCGATTGTTAAGTCTTATTTTAACAATCTTTATTACTAAAAAAAACTCATTCAGTAGTTGCTATCAAAACATGAAGAATCAAAATAAGCCGAGTCAACCTGTCAATTAATAGATAAATTATTAATTTTTCTATTCCAACCAATCCAGGATATAGATGATTGAGTAGATCAAGCTCATAATATTGCAACTGAAGTCTCAAATGAATTTTTTCATTGTCAGAAAAATCTTCAAGATAGAACTTGTCACTAATAAGCATATATCTTCAACATTGAATAATTTATAGCTATTTCTATGATTTAAAGTTGTGCTCAACTTAAAAAGCTCGATTACTTGCTTATTCAAGTTATTATTTAGCTCTTGTAATTGTTGATCAATTATAGCTGTAAATATATTAACTCAGTAGTGATATTCAACTGTTACTGATTTTTTTAATAGTGAGATCGTCCCACATTAAAAAACAAGTTTCCATACCAGGAACTTCAATATCTTAATGCTTACAAAATGATGTCACTTCTTTTAAAAGAGTTTCTCAACCATCTCTTGGCTTCTGAATTAAAGTCTTTATGATAGTCACTAAATGCATGGCATTTAAAATGTCTTGAGATTTTTATTGCAAGACTTGGAAAAACACATCAATAATTCTTACAACATTCTTCATTATAAGTAAGATGAATACAAAATCAAATAACAATAACAACTTAAATGAAAAGGCCGCATCACCATGTTAAGAATAAATAAACTGAAGCAATTTGGGGTTGCTCAATCATAACTTCAACATTACATATTATAGTTAGTTCACTAGGTTATAAGTATTCAAAAAAGAAATCAATTCATTAGGTTGTGAGTTTTCAAAAAAAGAATCAATCCTTCTTATTTTATTTATGGCTCAACCTAAAATCAAAACATATATCATGAGAAAAAATTGATAATTTTGGTGGTCATGTTAAAAATAAAATATATAAAAAAATCTAAGCATGATCAAAATAAACCAATAAAATATATCTAATAAATTAGAAAAAAATCACAATAACAAGAAAATAATTGGTAGAACTAGCATATCTAAAAAAAAAAAGTCAAAATTATAGAATTATAAAAATACCTCATTAAATTATTAATAAATATCTCAAAACAAAACAAAGATAGATTTTAAATTTAAGTTATCTTATTTTGTTTAATGATAGATAATTAATTGGTGGCTCGGCTTCAATCTTTTCACAAGAAAATTTTGCTTGCAATTTGTATTTTTATTTTTGTTTTTGATCGGCTGCAGGATTTATATTAGGACTGCGTAACATAAAATACATAAATGACTTTATATTCTTTTCTTTCCACGTGAGTATATAAAATCAAGAGTAAATTCAAAAAAAAATCAAGACTAAAGTCACACTTAATTACTAGTCACACTTAATTACTGTAAGAAGGTCCATCTTTTTTAAAATAAAAAAATATAACATTTCCTCACACTTAATTACGAAGTAATAAAAAATATTTAAATGTATTAAAGGGGCTAGGGCCCCTACTTGCCCCCATTTACTTCTACCCCTGCCTGATGTTGAGTGTCTTGCAACCATGTCATTCCTTGACATTTAGGGCATGACAGGCCTAATATTATCAGGTCTGGCAATAATACTAAACCTGGTAGCCTGGAGTCTAGTCGACATGTCATTCCTTAGCGTTTGAGGCAAAACATTATATCTCTAACCATTCTTTTAATACCAAATATATACCATAAAAAAAAAAATCTCAACCCCAACTGGATGCTTAACAAATTTTTTTGGCAATGACAATTATTTGAGAAATTAATTTTTTTTTAATTTATTTTAACTATTCAATATTATTAGAATTTTTTAGTTTTTTCTATATATAAAGTTGTAATAACATTTTGACAAGGAAGACATAAATGAATAAAATAAAATATTTTTTAATTTTTACTACAATCACCACCACCACCACCACCACTAACATCATTATTATAATTATCATAATAATTACTAATATTAATATCATCACCATAATTATAGACATCATAACCATTACAGCCATCATTATAATCTGTTGCTATTACTATTATTGAAATAAAAAAATCACAAACTTGATTTTATGAATAAAATTAAAAATCATAAATTTTTTGACAAAAAGGTAAAGGAAACAATTCAAAAAATCAAAAGAAAAAGGATCAAACTAAAAAAATATTATTACTGCTGAAAAAAATCATAAGTTTGATTTGAAGAATAAAATTACAGATGATAACAACTTTGGCAAAAGTGCCAAGGAAAAAAATAAGAAATCAAAAATAGAATGACCAAATCGAAAAGCATCATATACATAAAATAAAAATGAAAAACTAAATTAAAAATAGATAAAACTTTAACAAAAAAGCAAAGGACTAAAATTAAAAAATTAAAACTAAGATGATGGATTATAAACACTAACAAAAATTATGGATGAATTTAGATTTTAGCTAGGAAAGAGATATGAAGGAAAAGAATAAAGTAAATGCCACTGACGATAAACTGACTATTCTTAGGTTACACGCACCGTTTATAATGCAAGAGAACACAATGGAGAACAAAATGGCATAGCAAAATGATGATTTTAACCTTTAAGAGACACCACCTCCCACATGTTGATGTGTGTATAACATGCGCTAATATCATTTTTAACTAAAATAATAATAATAATAAAATGGAAAATTATGATACCACCCTTTACAGATCCATAAATTACAAAAAAAAAAAAAAATTTGAAAAGACAATGATACCCTTGCATTAATGCCTTACTATTTTTAAATCCAAGGTTAAATTTGTAACTATACTATATACTAGAATGTGAAAATACTGAAAAGATGATTTGCTAGAGTTTAATAATTTTTTATTTTTAAAGATAACAAAGTCATTTCACCATGTATAAATATGATAAAAAAAACAATAAATCTTTGGATAATTATTAAATAACAAATTGACAAGAGTGAAAATATTATTTACCCATAAAAAGCAACATTATGAGACTTTTTCAAAGGGTTAAATCATTATTTTAATATTCAAATCTACAATATACAAAAGCATATCCACAATGAAAATTTCACACTTTTAGCTACATGTTTGTGGTTCAAAATAAATATTTTAGTTAATTTTATTTTTTTATTTTTATCTTTCTATTTTGTATTATTATGTTTTTTAGCCTTTTTTATTTAAAGAAAATAGTTTTTCCATTTTATCTTTTTTATTATCCAGCATTACTAATGTTTTTCATTTTTTAAATATAAATAGTTGTAACAAGTTTTTTGCAAATGAGATATGAATGGATAGAATTATATTAAAAAAAAACCTATATATTTTTATAACTAGTATACATATACATTCACAAATAAAAAATACCATGATATAGAAGGAAATAATATATATATATATATATGTGTGTGTGTGTGTGTGTGAAAAAGTAAAAAAGTGATTGTATGGACATGCACAGTTGCTAGAAATGGAGAAGCTTAATAGAACGCTTGGTGACTTTTGTTTTAACCATTTAATTAGTTAAATGGCTTATACTTTTTGTACTGGATTTTATATACATTTGTTTTTCAAGTTTTGATTTTATAAAATCTAAAATAATTTATTTGTTTTTTATTCACGAAAACATATATTTATTTATTATATATATAAAAATCTATCTTATAATATTTTTAATTAAACACGTATTTTTTGAAACTGTAAATAAAAAACCTGTCAAAATACTAAACACAGATTAAAGACTTGTAAGTTACGGAGTATTTATATAACGATTCACATTCAACCACATACTAAACCCTAAATCCAAAAATAAAAATAAAAATCGCATGGCATGGAGAGTTGAAATTGGCGTCACAAAATCAAAGCCACACCCTTTTGGGCCAGGGAGACACCTGCACCCATCTTCATGTTGGGTCTTCATGTGCCAATGCCTGATTTTATGTTGAGGTGGAGACACTCGTACGTTTAATTTTTTTTAGATCTACACGCGTATGTGCCCAGTCCTGTATGAAGCAAGATCATGTCCTCGTCCAGTCTCCTCTTGGATTAGGGATGTGACACCGTCTAACTTCACATTAAAATATTACGTGTTCATCTTTAATTATTTTTAAGTACAATCATAAGCTACATCTAATGTTTTTTGGGCTCATTGTATAAGTTAAACCTAATGCTTATTAGATCGAGTGCATAGCTTAAAAGTAATTTTATACTGACTTTTTTACATTCTATGTCTGGATTAATAATTATAATAATTATTATATTCTATTAAATACAAATAATTATTTTATATTTATATTAATTAGATGTGATAGTACAAACAATAAAATAATATTATTTTATTTATATAAAATTATATTTTTATTTTTTTTACGTTGCATGAACATGTTAAGTCAGGTAATATAAAAAAAATATATAAAAAAGAGAAAAAAAATATACAGAAGAGGTTCAAAACTTTATATTCTCAGACGTAAACACATTCTCTACTTCTTTTTCCTGAATTCTACATCTTCTCTCCTTTCATCTTCTTTATCTTCATAAAAACTCATTAATATTTTTATTAATATATTTTACTATTCTAAAATATCTCATACTGACTTGATTTTTAAACGGTTTCCATCAATATTTTTAGAAGTTTTTAAGAGACTTTGTGTATATATTTCTTCAAGAAATGATTTATATCTCTTGATAAAATTAATTAAAGAAAAAACCAGTATAAAACACATTATACAATGTGTAAGGATTTTTAGGAATAATTTTTTTCAAAACCTCATCAACAACAATAACACAAGCATTAAATCAGTCGCCACTTAATTCATACTTGATATTTGTATATCAAGATTAACTTTTGCATTACATGGATATTATTTATACATAGGTTAATGGATTTATGAGGATTTTTAATATAAAATATATTGAAATACCATTAACTGCATGACTATAAACTTGATGATTTATTTATTTTTATTTTTGATGGTTACATTATTAAATGTGGTGTTTAAGGTTGTGCCATGATTATATTTTTTTAAATAAAAATAGTTTTTTAAAAAATAACTTTAAAAATTATTACCAAACTATCAAAAATGCCCAAAACCTATATCCAAATTAGTGTATTCATAATGCATTTTTGCCTCATTTTTTCTTAAAGTTTTGACGCAGAACACCCATCAAACATATACATTACATTAAACAAGCTTTGGAATAAAATTCCATAATTTTAATGGGAAGTTACAACAAAAACTTAATCATGTAGTAAATCCATGCTAGTCCATGATGTTCATTGCAAATATTAGCATACAAGATTAATAATAGAAGCGAGCAAGGGAGTGTTTGAAAATATAATTATATTTAAAATTTAAATTTTTTTAATTTTTTTTATTGTTTTAAAGTGCTGATTTTAAAATTAATTTTTAAAAAATTAAAAAATTATTTTAATATAAAAAATATTTTAAAAACAAATAAAATAATAAATTTCCGAGCGTCACCATAGACCAAAAGAATCAAAATCAACAAATCCACACTGCAATAATAATAATAATGTTTTTTTATTAAAACAAATTGTAGTAGTGGCAGCAGTGAGTAGTCCTGTTATTATATTATTAATAGAGCAAGAATCGAGCACATACAGAGCTCATGTCTTGGGACGGTCTCCCCCGCCCCATTTCTATCAAAATCTCTCTCTATTTCTAGCGCGATCTCTTATGATCTCTTCACGAACTTGCAAATTCAAAATCTTTTTCTCACTTTCTCACTTCTTAGATGCAGATTTTAATTGGGTTTCTTTTAATTTTGCTTCTTTCACTCTCTAAAGTGGAAACATTGAAGACTTGTTGCTCTATTCAATCACCTGGTCTCCCTCTACTTTAGCTTCTTCACTGCTTCATCAATTGCGTGGAAAAAGTAGGTGTTTTTCTTATGCCCCATTTTGTGTTTTTTTTTTCCTTACTAATGTTTTGAACGGAGTGGATTAAGTTTTGGTGTTTGCTGTTTTTTTTTTTTGTGGAATTTTAGATCTGTATTGGTAAAGTTTTCTTCTTTGTAGCAATTTGAGATCTTTAGAGTCTGTTTGGTTCCTGAGAAAATAGGATTGAATGAAGAGAATGGGAAAGAAACTGAGTGGAGGTATCCACTCTGTGCCCACTCTACTTGCTGTTGTTTTTGTAAAAAAATTGTAAATTCTGAGACTAATAATTGTGATAGAGATATTAAAGGATTGATTTTGGGTTTTTCCAGTTCTTATATATATATATATATCTGTAAGTATTGGAATAAAGGGTTGAATGAAGAGAATGGGAAAGAAACTGAGTGGAGGTATCCACTTTGTGCTCACTCTACTTTCTGTTGTTGTAAAAAAATTGTAAATTTTGAGACCAATAATTGTGATCATGATATTGAAGGATTGATTTTGGGTTTTTCCAGTTCTTATATTTATATCTGTAAGTATTGGAATAAAGGGTTTTTTTTTTCCCCGGAAAATTATATTTGATGTTTCTTTCCATTATTGAAGTCAAATGGGTATTCATGGAATTAGCGTCAGAAGCTGTTTGATAGACCTAGAAAGCACTCGAAAGTGGATTTTTGGGCTGATTTTTGACTTCCTACCAGTGTTTCCAGTAGACCTGTTTCGTACCTGAACTCTCATTGACTCATACAAAGGTTCTGCTAGAATTAAGAAGATGAAACCACACATGGATTCTTTTCATGTCGATGTGTTTATGGGATAATTAAAACTCTATTGTAAACTAGTCACAAGATGTTTCTGATGGTGTTAGTGATTAATGTTCTGTGAACTTCATAGTTTTGGATAATTTGTGTTATTTTTGAAGATGCTAAGTTTCTTAAGAGAACTGAAGACGGGCCTTTTCCATTTATGTCTGCAGGTTTATAATTTCTGACCGTTTTCAATGTCACTCAAAATCTGCCCCCCAGAATGTTAGCCTCAATTTTCATGAAACTCCTTCAGTGAACTTAATTGTTGAACTTTCTAAGACCTCAAGCTCAAGCTTTTTAGGGTTTTCATGTGGTTCATAACTTCATACCTAGGTGCTATATTATTATGTTTGATATCCGAATGGATTAGCTTTGGGAGAACTTTGCATGGTGATTCTTTGTAAATAAAAAAATTAATTTTTTTTTTGAGAAAAAGATGCCTTCGTGGTGGGGAAAGTCATCATCTAAAGAACTGAAGAAGAAAGCAAACAAGGAAAGTTTCATTGATACATTACACAGAAGATTTAAGAGTCCATCTGATGGTAACCTTAATGGTAGATCTGGAGGTTCTCGAAGATGTTGCAGTGACACAATTTCAGAGAGGGGATCTCAATCTCGAGCAGTATCAAGATCACCTTCACCTTCATCAAAACATGTTTCTAGGTGCCAGAGTTTTGCTGAGAGGCCCCATGCCCAACCACTCCCCCTTCCTGGCGTGCACCCTGCAAATGTGGGGCGCACAGACTCTGGAATTAGTATATTGACTAAACCAAGATTGGAAAAGGGTGCAAATTCGTCATTGTTTTTGCCCCTACCAAGACCAGGATGCATTCGTAATAGGCCCAATCCACCAGATTTAGATGGGGATTTGGCCACTGCTTCAGTTTCCAGTGAGAGCGCCACTGATAGTGATGATCCTGCTGACTCAAGTCATCGTAGTCCTCCAGCAACTGACTATGACCTTGGGACCAGAACCAAGACTAGCAGCCCTTCCAGGTAAGCCTTTGTATAATTTGTTAAATGTTCATTATTTGTGGTTTCTTCCATCATTCATTTAACTCATCCCTGATGAATGTACTACATTTTCTCCTGAAGTGCAATGCTCAAGGATCAGTGCACTATTGTGAGCCATTCAAACTCAAAAGAGGCAAAGAAACCAGCTAGTCTTTCTTTTGGTAATCACACCTCCTCTACATCACCCAAACAGAGACCTATAAGCAGTCATGTGCTGAATCTACAGGTTCCGCAACATGTTGCTTCCGGCAGTGCACCAGACAGCTCCATGTCAAGTCCTTCCAGAAGTCCCATGAGAGCATCTAGCACCGAGCAAGTCATAAACTCTGCTTTCTGGGCAGGCAAGCCATACCCAGATGTCAATTTTTTAGGATCTGGCCACTGCTCCAGTCCTGGTTCAGGCTACAACTCTGGACATAACTCAATGGGAGGGGATATGTCAGGACAGTTATTCTGGCAACAAAGCAGGGGTAGCCCTGAATGTTCTCCGATCCCTAGTCCTAGAATGACCAGCCCTGGCCCCAGCTCCAGAGTCCAGAGTGGTGCTGTTACACCAATTCATCCCAGAGCAGGAGGGACGATCATTGAGTCCCAGACAAGCTGGACAGATGATGGGAAACAACAAAGCCACCGGTTGCCCCTCCCTCCTGTAACAATTTCCAGCCCCTCTCCCTTTTCTCATTCAAACTCAGCAGCAGCATCTCCGTCTGTGCCACGAAGTCCAGGAAGGCAAGAGAATCCAACAAGCCCAGGATCTCGCTGGAAAAAAGGAAAGCTTCTGGGTAGAGGCACATTTGGACATGTCTATGTTGGATTTAACAGGTATAAACCCCAAAAGCAAACGCTTGAATTTGTTTGATTTATCAATATTGCATGTAAATTCTCATGGATGCATTATGCTCCAACTGTTTGCAACCTGCACTATAACCTAGTAGAGATGCCTAGTTGAGACCGTTGTTAGTCAGTTAAGTTGACTATTTGTTTGTGGTGCCATTCTTATGAGAACCTACATGATTGATTGACAGTTTTTATTGAATGACATTTTAAACTATTCCTAAGTTTCCAAATGTTTGTGAAATTGAGGACTACATGTCTGATTTTACTTTTACAATCGGGCAGTGAACGTGGCGAATTGTGTGCAATGAAGGAGGTGACATTATTTTCAGATGATGCTAAGTCAAAAGAGAGTGCTAAGCAGTTGATGCAGGTAAGTTGATCACCCCTTAGCAATGAAGTTTCTTGTGACAACACGATAAACTTTTCTGCTTGCATATATTTTTTATATATTATTTAACTTGTAAATAGCTTTGAAAGAAGTTCTTACATTCAGTCTTTTGACAGGAAATTTCTCTTTTAAGCCGTTTACAACACCCAAACATTGTGCAGTACCATGGATCTGAGACGGTATGTCTCTTATGTGCTGTTCTTTATCTTTTGCATGCAAGTGCTATTGAATTTAACCTCTTGTATTCATATTGAAACTTGTGTTGTTGGTACCATAACCTTTGGCTCTTTATAAGTCCTTTTATGTTAGGGTTAGAATAACAGTCAATGGTCAGTGATCATGAAACCTAATTATTGGGTTTGAATAACAGTCAATGGTCAGTGATCATAAAACCTAATTATTGATACTCTAGAGATTAAATTTTGGGTCATGTTGGCTTGCTTAACTGCGTAGTGCAATAAGTTGGCAGGTAGTATTTCTGCTTTGTGTGCAATTTGCTATTTCAAGGGACAATTGTAAGTACTACACTTCATTAACAAAACCTTCAAATGATTTCTTGAACAGGTTGGTGACCGGCTTTATATATACTTGGAGTATGTATCTGGTGGGTCCATATATAAACTTCTCCAGGAATATGGCCAATTGGGCGAGCTAGTTATTCGTAGTTATACCCAGCAAATCTTGTCAGGACTTGCATTTTTGCATTCTAAAAGCACTGTTCATAGGTGAGTGGACTTTCCTCGTTTTGATCTGCTAGATAATAACAATTTATTTGATCATCTTTACAATTGTTAATATTCTCTTGCTGTTCCTCAAATTTTTTTTTCTTGATAAATATCTTGCTTTCCTCTTCAGAGATATCAAAGGAGCAAACATTCTTGTAGATCCAAATGGTCGTGTTAAATTAGCTGATTTTGGCATGGCAAAACACGTAAGTGTGTAAACAGTTATTTTTCTCTCCAAAAGACGATGAATTTCATATTGAACCGGAGCTGATATATGTATATTTATGGATATGGAGTTTGTTGAATGCTGCATATGACAACTTGGTAGCTTGCATAATCCCTTGCCAGCAAGTAAAATTACCTTGTGAAGACTGATTTTTTAAGTTTAAATTCCTTGGGTGCATGCACTAGGTGCAAAAATTAAAGAAAAAAAAAAATTATGTGCTGCTGAGTACAGTCTGATATACTTTTACTGCTACTCCCTCTCTTACGGTCAATCCTAGTAGCTGAGCTAACCTAATCTTTGCTTTGCAGATCACTGGGCAGTCATGTCCACTATCATTCAAGGGAAGTCCTTATTGGATGGCACCTGAGGTCAGAATCTTTTCTTGCTCAACTTTCTAGTCCTTATAATGGCATTTCCATATTATACTCAACCATCTTTTTCATTGTTTTCTCAGGTTATAAAGAACTCAAATGGTTGCAATCTTGCTGTGGATATATGGAGTCTTGGATGCACTGTTTTGGAGATGGCTACCACAAAACCACCTTGGAGCCAGTTTGAAGGAGTAATTCCTATAGACAATATTTAATTTAATGCTGTCTAAAATCTAAATATTTTAGTTGATCAAAGGAAACTGGCACAAATTATTTCTCATGTATCCTGACACGTGCTTCTCATTTATGAAGAATTTACAGGTATTAGATTTTGTTCTTTCTTCTCATGTACGATGTTTTCATGTCGTGAAGGTTGCTGCCATGTTTAAAATTGGAAATAGTAAGGATCTCCCAACAATTCCAGATCACCTCTCAGATGAAGGAAAAGATTTTGTAAGGCAATGTTTGCAACGTAATCCACTACATCGACCTACAGCTGCCCAGCTTTTAGAGCATCCTTTCGTAAAATCAGCAGCACCTTTAGAAAGACCTATTTCAAGCCCTGAACCTACTGATCCACCCCCTGGAGTTACAAATGGAGTTAAAGCTATGGTATGTTCCTTTGTTCATGTTGTTCCTTCAATTTCTACGGAGATCTAATTTTGCATGCTTGGATAGTTGGCTGCATTTATTCCCCTTCATGTGAGATGAAGGAAAGGCTTGGTAAGGCAATTTTAAGCTCTGAAAATGTTTGTTTTAAATAGCAAATTCATCATGTTAAATTTATCTCTGATATTGTGCTGAAATACATTTCATTTGTAGTCCAATGATGTCATGTTAAATATATGAATTTTTACCGTTGTCTATTAAAAAAGTATGGGAAGAAGTTTGGTTATACAAGTTGTCATCTCCTAACTTTTCATCACAATAACCTTACAGTTCGGTGAAGATTGCTCTCTCTGAATTTTTCTGAGATGTTTGTGCTCTGAAGGATACAAGCAGAATTTGTAGTGAAGAGGATGTATGCATCGGATGAGAGGCTTCACATCCTATATTTTTTTGTTTTGTATATTATGCATGTGCCAAATGCATTTATATTTATGAAGTCAATAAACTGGTATGTCTGGGGTGGAAGGTTACTTGACTGTTATTGTTTGGCAGTATGACGTAGGAGAAACCTATTTATCTGTCACTGAAAGCAGAGGAAAATCATGAGAGCTTAAACAAGCTGTTTTTCATGTCTCTTACAATCATTCTGCTTTTGGATACCTGCCATGTTAAGTGTTTCTGTGGTTTATTCACCATGTTTCAGGGCATTAATCAAGCAAGAAACTTTCCCACCTTGGATTCAGAGAGACTTGCAGTTCATTCATCTAGAGTTTCAAAAACTGGTCTGCATGCCAGGTATCTATCTCTCTCATAATATCACTGGCATCACTGCAATCATCATTTCATCATCTTATGATCTGATTTCAATTCCCAAATCTGTAGTGATTTACATATACCAAGGAACATATCATGCCCTGTTTCTCCCACTGGAAGCCCTCTCTTTCATTCGAGGTCACCACAACACCTAAATGGAAGAATGTCTCCTTCACCTATAGCTAGCCCGCGGACCACTTCAGGCTCATCCACACCTCTGACTAGTGGAACTGGTGCTATACCTTTTAATCACTTGAAACAGTCAGTTTACTTGCAAGAGGGTTTTGGAAACATGCCATATCACACAAATGGTATATATGCCAATGGCTTGGCTTATCATGATTCCAGTCCTGATCTTTTTCGAGGAATGCAGCCTGGCTCTCCCATCTTCTCAGAGCTGGTTCCCTGTGAAAATGATCTCATAGGAAAGCAGCTTGGAAGGCCTACTCAAGGGGAACCTTATGATGGGCAGTCAGTCTTGGCTGTTCGAGTGTCTCGGAAGCTTTTGAGGGATCATGTGAAAATGAAACCATCCCTGGATCTAAGTCCCAACTCTCCTTTACCCAGTAGAACCGGAGGTATATAATCTAATGCATTTTTGTGGACTGACGGATCAAAGCAAGCTTTCAAGATTTTGAGACTCATTTTGGTTAAATATGATTGTTTTATTCATCACATTAACAGCTGAGGAAACTAGCATGTTCAATAAAGGGAAGGAAATGTGGAATAAGTTTAAAGGTGATGAGACTTGGCTGGAGGCAGATTGATCAGCGTGGTTCCAAGCTTATGCATTTAGATAAATGCATGCCTCTCTGAAAATATTCTTTCTGGTCAGATCTTCAGATGCACTGAAATGGAGCTTGCTAACTAAACTGAGAAACTTGCTCTTGTGGCCATTTTGTGGTGACATGCATTGCGAACTTGCACACACTTGACGAATCGCTCTAGCACTCAAACTGATTAAGGTGAAAGACTACATCCCCCCTTGCATTGCGTTGCATCTCATGATCCGTTGTATGGCAGTTCCTTCAGTATGGAAATTATTCGTGGCATTGAGAATTGTATATTCCTTTAGATCATGGTATAAAAAAAACAAATATCAAGCAAGTGCAATTACTACTTTTTTGGACAACCTTTTTTTTGGGTCTGAAAGTGCTGTACAGAAGATGAACTGAATCGGGGCTAGAAATTTGTTTACGAAGCAGATGTGGATTTGTCGAGCCTGCGTGTGCTTGTTTCTTGGAGTATTTTTATGCTGGCTCAGATTAACTGTTGCCTTATAGTCGATTCAAGCTGATTTGTATGTACAGTATCACTAGTTATTGAAAAGAATCTAATCCAGTGATTTCTGAATTTTCGATTTCTCATCAAGTTACTGAATGATAACGTTTCAAGCATATGCTTCGAAGCCTATCATGAGTTACAGAGCCAATCTATATATATACGTAGGCAATTTGTATATATGCAGACACAATTTATAAATTTATGAATTAATAAAATAAGTAAAAATTACAATAGATTAAAATAATACGAGTAGGATCTCATTTTATATAATCCCAAGAAAGTGAATCGTCTGAGAACTCACTGTGAAATGAGAAAGTTTGAGATTCAAGCTTTAGAAATTGAATGCTCAATTTTAACATTGCTGAAGCTCCTTAATTCTAGTGAAAGGTAAATCTGGCTAGGAAAGAACTGGACCAACTCCAAATTATTGATTCCATATTCATGGCATGTGTGGTTTCACGCGTGCAGATTGAAATGACTTTACTTGCAATGAGACGTAAAGACTAAAGAGTTTCAAGCAGATGGCTTCTTATTGAGAACTTGCAGCATAATCTTTGCAGGGCAGAATCTCCTTATTGGAATCAGTTTTATGACGTTTATGAAGGAGTTGAGCCTCTACGGACCAAATCTAAGCTGAAATCCCAGAGTTTCGTAGCCAACTCAGCATCATTTGCCTGTAAACTCGCCTTGGCTATGCTGCTGTCAGCAAAATACTGCCCGCTCATGCCTTTAACTTTTGGATGCAACGCTACGTAGCATGTAGTTGCTGCCCCCTACACCCAGATTGATTCAAAAACAGAGCATGCATGACTTCAAAAGCCTGTGTAATCTACAGAAAATCCATTATTTCAAATCAATTCTCACAAGAAAACTGGACAGAGTTTTGTTTCCATCAAAACTTGTGGTGCAAGAAGACATGCACGAGCACACATACACAGAGAGGAAGAGAGGATGCAAGCAATTCTAAAGACATTATCCGATTAATATTTACTTAATTGTTTTTTCTCAGTTAATTATGAGTACCTGCTGAACATTTTTGATGACGTACTTACCAACAAGACCAACAAGACCTGCATAAAACCCACATCATCAGCACTAAAATTAAAATCCCAGCTGACTTTCATCAGATACATCCAAGAGAAGAACATGGGATTTTAACCTGAAAAAAATGATATTAAATCTTAGCTAAACTTTCTCCATGATGAGGCAAACAAGGGTTTTACAATATCCATCCTTGTATTATGGAAGGTTCATTAACTGTGTGATTCAGTGAAAAGTGAAGCACCTAAAAAAGAAAGAAAGAAAGAAAGAAAACTGTTCAGTTTTTTCGCAGAATATGGGCAAGACAGCCTCTGAAAGATAACGTTGCAATTGTGAAGGCCAATAATTCTCAGTCTCGACTGAGCAAGGAGGTTTGAGCATCAACTCTCCTCCCCCCTGGCAGTTGGCAATTGACTGAAGAGGTATGAACATAAATCATGGTTGAAGTTGCCTTTGATTATTTTAACACTCCAAATCTTTTGAAATATATTTGTTGTCCATGGAGTAAGAAAATGAGATCATTTGCCAACACGGTTTTCTTCATCAAACCAAAGCAGAAAAAGTTGTTTCCATCAGCAAAAATCAAAAGCTAATCTACTATGAAAAATAAGTAAAATACCTGTGAGAAAACTGTAATGCCGAAAAAGGTTGGTGGCTATCAATCCCGGATGAACTGAATTTGCAGTTACCTCCACCCTGTCTTCCTGATTGAACAATATATCATCAACATGTTGCGGCAACTTAACATTATCATAACTACCACATTCTACTTCATATTAGACAGAGGAGAGCATTAATTGTGAATTATAACAATAGATTGTCCCTCCTTCAAATTGGAAGAATCCGGTATTTACTTATTGCTGTCTATACACAGCCAATCAACTGAGAAAAACACAATGACCGAAAACTTCAGGTACCAAGGCCAAGGAAGTTCTGCCAAGAGAAAATCCAAGTTTATAGCAAAGAGATAGTGTACACTGACATAGCTTAAAAAATATCATTTCTGGAAGCTCAACAGCACTGTACAGTGCAAGTTCATTAATATGCTTGAACAAATAACACACCTTTAGTTGTCTTCCAAGCTCATTAGCATGCAAAATATTTGCAAGCTTCGACTGACCATATGCAGATAAACTGTTATACCTGTACAATCACGTTCACTATATGTTAAGAGGAAAGCTATATCTTGCAAAACACATTCACTACATGTGTCCTAAGAATAATTTTGCAAAACTGACTAAACATTCATTACAAATTATCAAGAACTATGTTTAGCAATCAATCTCACTTTATGACAAGCTTTAGTAGTAAAAAATGGGGGCAACAAACAGCAAATTCCCCACAAATTCAGTTACAAATGACATCATATACTGAACACATTTGATGTTCTACACTATTGACTAGCCACAACCTGAATGATTAATAAACTGGTGTTTCCCCATTTTGCTCCATGCCTATCCTTACAGGGATTTGCTATGCTAAACACAACTGTGCTCGAAATTCAACTCAATTTTGTTAAAAATTTGCAAGAATTTTCAAATGCTATGTCAAAATCATTTGTAATTATCCAGACCAGAATGCTTAACATGAACAAATAAAATAGACCTCCAAAAGTGAGATCCATGCAATTCTGTGTTGAGATGTGGTTCTACCCGGATGGATCATTGAGTTTAGCAAAACGAATCCCTTCTGGGTATGAGAATTTGTGCCGGCGTGATGAGACATTCACAATCCTTCCTTCTTTCCTGCTTGCGCGAGCTGTCTTTCTAATGGTTTCCATCAGTAAATTCGTCAACAGAAAATGACCTGCAATATCAGAGTCTCAAGTATTAAAAAAACACATCACACGATTGACTCCATTGGATTGATCAAGCTATTTTGTATACATTTAACAGTTTCTTCATCCCACCATCCTGAGCTAAAAAGGAACCCTCCAACACATGCCTGCGCTTGTTCACCCATGCAAATCTCAAAAAAAAAAATACAGACAAAGGTGGAAGCAGGAAGCTTTTTAACATTCAAACAATTGACAGTTCATTTAAAAAAGAAAAATGTACTCACCGACATGGTTTGTTGCGAATTGAAGTTCTATGTTGTCTCTGGAAAGCATGAATGGCGTTGCCATGATTCCTGCATTGTTACTAACAAATGTATATCTGCTTTCAGTGCAGGTTGTCACAAAGTGAAAACATCAAAAGGTTCTGGGTGTAAGCAAAACGAAAATACTAAGCAAATTAGAGCCCGTAAATCATTTTTCCTGTTATCCAATTAACTTACATGAGAAGGTTTAAGGGAAGATTCAAGGACTTGAAGTCTTCTGCAAATTTCTTTACTGATGCCATGGAACTTAAATCCAAATCCATGGCATCAAGCTTTGCATTAGGGTTTCCCTTAACAATTGCTTCTTTGACCGCCCTGCCAGCTTCCAGATTCCTCACTCCCATAACTACATGAACACCCCGTAATGCAAGCACCCGTGCAGTTTCTGCTCCAATCCCACTTGATGCTCCTGCAGCATAATACATCCATGATCATCAAATAAAAAAGTATCCCTAATGCTTGCTTTCAAATGATCACTTTTTTCGGGTTTAAAAACAAATTGACCTGTGACAATGGCAGTCAGACCAGAGCCATCAATCCCTTGTGTAACATCTTCAGCTGTGGAAGAAGCTGAGAACCCAGATGTTCCTTTTCTGCTCAAAAACCACATTCTTTCTGTGTCTTATCATAAACACATCATCTACCGTTGCACTTTGTAGTTGTCCTACTCAAAAGGCAGTGAACAGTAGGCGTATGTCCATTTTATTTCTTCAGGGGCTAAAGGCCTCAGTCCAGTCCAACAAAACATGGCCTGCCCATGAAACCAATTTAATGATCTCCTTACAAACCAGCTCATTATGGTTAATTGGAGAAGCCAGTTGAGATCATGTCTCATAATTTTCGGTTTTGTACAGTTGGAGATCTTAAGGGAAATGTGTCATTTTCTGATTCCCATTTCTGAAATGCAATCATACGAACGACATTCCTTAAGTTTTTCATTCCTTTACTTTTCTTTGTGAGGAAACAGCATTCTATGAGTACATTGTCACAATAAAGCGTTACAACATTGATACCAAAGACAATATGGCAAATAGAATACACCATCATCTTTCATGAAGAACCAAGAATCCCCCTGAAATATATTACATTATCTTGGAAATATAGAAACTTGTAGGCATCAATATTTATTGAACCAAATCCATACTGAAATCCCAGAGTTTCTTTGCTAACTCGGCATCTCTACTCTCTGAGCATGCAGCGGCCGGATTACAACCCGAAAAATATTCCCCACCTACACCCTTTACTTGTGGATCTAATGCCACATAGCACGTTGTTGCAGCACCCTGCAATCCAATTCAAGAAATATGAAAATGGAAACGAAGATCACTAGGCTTTTTGTGCAATGAAGGTGTTTCATTTTAGGGAAACTAAAAAAACAAAGTGTATTTTGGAAGACAGCCAGCTCACCTCCTGGACAATTTTTAGCACAAGCCCGGCGAGAGACTTGAGAAAGACTGCATTAAATCAAAAGAACTGAAGTTAAGATGCTATTTTTCACTTGAATTTGGGACCGAGTCCATTGAAGTAAGACCACAAAGATTAGAGGGGTTAAAATGTCAGACTTCTTATGGCATTGTCGTTGGCAAGGCTCTTATAAACATATGCTGCATGTAACAATTTTGTCTTCCGAATGACATCAATAGACACAAACAACCGCCTAAAAAGTACTGACATATGATAAGCTCTTTACTGAGAAAGTATTCAAGTTTACCAAGAAAATTCCAATCACAGATCATGGGAATTTGACAGGCATTCGGCTAAAATCATATGAAGCATGCACAATAGTTTGAAACTTGAAAACAGATCGAAGTATCAGATGCGAATTATTCTACACGTGTAGCGAGCGAGAATTACCTTTACTTCACCAACTTTGTTCTTGCAGGTTCGAGCTTCACTTTAAGATATAAGATTTATTTCATCATTTAAGCAGCATATGTTTATAAAATTATTTTGATCTTCAGAAAATTGAGATATACAACATGGGCCATCCTATATCCCAGAGCAGGCATGTTTAAAAAAGACATGAAATTAGGGACACTGGTCCTGCTTGATGACTAGCATACTTTTAAAATTAGAAATTGATGCAATACTGAATGATTACAGTGTTACCCTGGCTGATCAATGATTTTATCAAAACGAATTCCCTCAGGATATGGAGATCGGTGGGACTCCTAGGAAACATTTACAACTCTTCCTTCTCTGTCTTTCACGTGCCGTTTTCTTCATGGTACCCAACAAAAGATTTGTCAAAAGAAAATGTCCTGTAGAAAGCATTTGAAGGAATTAACTTAGTCTACTCGTTTGTTTGGACAAGAAATCATTGAATTATTTATTATTTCTTAAAACAAAATGAGTACCCAGGTGATTTGTTGCAAACTGTAGCTCTATGTTGTCTTTGGAAAGCATGAACGGTGTCGCCATAACTCTTGCATTGTTACTTACAATAGAGAAGATAAAATCATTCCTCTCTCTATAATTTACTAAACTGAGCAAGCCCAGGAGACACCAAGAAAGCTATGCATGAATGAACAGAAACCAAAATGTTAAATCATGAAAACTAGCATGAGAGTACGATGAGACAAATGCGGAATATTATCTACCATCAGGGTTCTTTATTTTTCCTAACATTAAGAGGTTCAAGGGACGGCCCGAGGAACTGAAATCCGATGTAAATTTCCTCACAGATGCCAGTGAACTGAGGTCCAATACCATGGGATCAACTTTGGCAGTGGATATTTCCTTAACTATTGCGTCTTTGAAGTCTCTTCCAGCAGCCATAGTCCTGACCCCATAATAACATGGACACCACGCAACGCAAGAACTCGCGCAGTCTCCGTGCCAATACCACTAGATGCTCCTAAAACCAATAGGAAATAAAAATGCTTGTCAAATCATCGTGGCAATACGAATTATTGAATGTCTTGAAACACAAAACCTGTGCAATGCTTGCACAGTCCACAATAAGGATTTATAGGATATACCCATTAATCATAAAGCATGCAGATAGATTTCCATTCTCCACAGTAAACAGTTTTGCATTCTTTCCAAAAGCATGCAAGTGTGTTTATTCCATAGAGTTTTGGAGAACTCGATCCTAATACCCTGTTATTATTGATCCTTCATATGCTGCTATTATAGCAGCATATATACATTATTTCTTAAAAATTATTATGAGTGTTCGTATTAACTTATTCTATAAATCTTAAAATTAATAACCATATAAATATCAAGTAACATTAAAGTTAACATTGAAGTCTATTGAACTCAAATTAATAAAAACCTGACCAGTATACATACACACCTTATTAATCACTTTGTGGTTAGCAAATCAAATGAACTTAAAAACATGTTTTGGATATTGTCTCACCATACAAACGATCTCTGACTTATTTAAGATAAAGTCATGATTCTTGCAAACCTTTACAGCAATTTCATCCTAATAAATCTACTTGAATTTTTCATAAACAAGCCCATATTTGCGCCAAGTGCTACATGAAACAACATCATAAATAAAAAAAAAAAAACACATGTGGATGCTGAAAAACTATTGAAATTTCCATTTGGAAGCACAAAGAAAAACCAACCTATCCCTCATTTCTTTTGCACTCATACGTACCATATAACTACATCAAGAAATGAAGATATGCATAAAATACAAATTTAACTCCTACAGAGGGACTCTAAATAATGAGCACAGATCTCCCATTTTGTACCACGGCAAAACAAAACAATCATAATTTAAATAGAAAAGACACATGCATGTATGGCCTGTGACAATGGCAGTGAGGCCAGAGGCATCAATCCCATGAGTAACTTTCTCAGCTGTAGAAGATGAAGATAGCCCAGATGGTCCTTTCCTTTTGAAAAACCACATGATGAGATGATCTAAATTGAGTCTAGTGTTAAGAGTATGCAATGACAGGATAGCAGCAGCAGCCAGCGACCTTTCTTGACTAGTGCTGCAGTGCAGCAAAGAAAGTCCATGGCCGTGCTGCCGCCGAGCCATCATGACATCCTTTATTTTGTTGGCGGGAGAAATTACATGTGGTAATTTTATAATACTTAAACCAGATAAAATACACAGTTTTATTTTAAAATAATAAATTTATAAAATAAATATAAATTCTTAATATATATATTTTTTTAGTGTTTTTTTTTTATCGTTCTTGTATGTAATAGCATAAACTAAACTATATATTTATATATAAATTAAAAATAAGAAAATTTAAATTCTAAGTGGTAGGTGTTGGTTGATAGTTGATGGCTATAAATGATAATTGGGTGGTTGATAATTGATAATGATAAGTGATAATTAGTGGCTAATGGTTGATTAAATTTATCCCAGCATATCTGGCACGACGGAAACTATTAATGTCCTATAGGCTGTCGTTTCTACATAATTTTGACAGTTCAATACGTTATTATTGCACCGTTTAATTTTGGCTGGGAACAGGTCACTTAGCCGCGCATAAAAATATAAAAAACCTTTAACATAAAAAAGTAAGGTTTTTATTTATTAATAAAACAGATCAAGAATTTAAAATATTAGTAAATATTAAAAAGAAACTTAAAATATTTTATCTTAAGCCACGGAGAGCTCTTTAGTTTTTTTATTTAATTTTATGAAAATTATTATCTTTAATGTAAGAAATGTCTCATTTCTTCTTTTCTTTTTTTATCTCGTCAACATGCTCCATTTTTTATTTTTGACTTTTTTTTATCTGAATGTAAATGATAATAATTTCACGTTGATGGATTAAAAGAATTCAAGAACAGGCGTTGCCATCGATAACATTTTAGCAGTACTGGTACCCTGTTTTTTGAAATGCAATCACTTAGATTTTTCTTTCCTTTTCTTTTCTCTGCGAGGATGTATACTTCTGCGACTTCATCGTCACAATAAAGGAGTACAAACACTGATACCAGAGACCATATGGCAAATGGAATTACACCATATCCCTCTGAAATATATTACATTATCTTGGAAACATAGAAACTTGTAGGCATCAATATATATTTATTGAACCAAATCCATACTGAAATCCCAGAGTTTCTTCGCTAACTCGGCATCTCTACTCTCTGAGCATGCAGCGGCCAGATTACAACCCGAAAAATACTCACCGCTTACACCCTTTACTTGTGGATTTAATGCCACATAGCACGTTGTTGCAGCACCCTGCAATCAAATCAAGAAATATGAAGATGGAAACGAAGATCACTAGGCTTTTGTGCAATGAAGGTGTTTCAGTTTAGGGAAACTAGAAAAACAAAGTGTATTTTGGAAGACAGGCAGCTCACCTGCTGGACATTTTTTAGCACAAGCCCGGCAAGGGACTTGAGAAAGACTGCGTTAAATCAAAAGAACTCATGAAGTTAAGAAGCTATTTTTCACTTGAATTTGGGACCGAGTCCATTGAAGTCAGACCAGAAAGATTAGAGAGGAGTTAAAATGTGAAACCTGTTATGGGATTGTCGTTGGCAAGGCTCGTATTATGACGGAAAAGATTGGTGGCGATTACTCCAGGATGCAATGAATTTGCAGTTATGTTTACTCCATCTTCCTGGTTATCAAAACAATCAAGAACATGTTGCACTTAGCATCATATCTATCCATGTTCAGATATAGTGTAGGGTTGTACTTGAATCCTAGATTCTTCGAATGCTATATACAATGCATCTCTAATTAAGCTGTTGGAGGGGTATTTTTTTTATAAGGAATTGGTTTGATCCTTGTTCGCAAAAGATGCTATCGACATTCTCTTTTTATCAAGCACTTCATGAGACTTTTTTATAAAAAAGAAAACCAGATACCTTGAATCGTCTAGTGAGCTCGTTAGCATGCAGCACATTTGCAAGTTTCGATTGGCCATATGCCAGGAACCTTTTATACCTTTACAAGAGCAAGCATAGACAAGATCAAAATTCTTCATTCAAGATCAATATTGCATAGCATGATTATATCAGACAACAAATTAAACATCCTGAATAGCATGCATCAAGTCCAATGCATGTAGAGGATACAGAAAGAGCTTCACGGTTTAAAAAAAATAATCAAGACGCTGGTAGAAGCAAGATGTGTTACGGAGGTTATTCCAACAACAAAAGCGCATACTACATTTAGCAATTTTCTCTTCTGAATCATATCAGCAGACACAAACAATGGCCTAAGAAGTTATGACATGTGATAAGCTCTTTACCATGAAAGTATTCGTGTTTGCCAAGAAAATTTCAATCACATGTACATCATGTGAATTTGAAAGGCATTCAGCTAAAATCAGACGAGGCATGCACAATAGTTCAGAACTTAAAGACAGGTCGAAGACTCGAAGTATCACAAGCAAATATCCATCATGTGTAGCAAACAAGAATTATCTTTTACTTAATTAACTTAATTTGTTCTTGAAGGTTCAGACTTCACTTTAAGACATAAGATTATTAATATCATCATTTAAACAGCATATAAGAGAATATATGTTGATCTTCAGAAAATTGAAAGACGTAACAGGCCGGACATATGAAATTAGGGACACTGGTTCTGCTTGGTGACTAGCATGCTTTCAAAATTAGAAATGGATGCAACTCTGAATGATTACAGTGTTACCCTGACTGATCATTGATATTATCAAAACGAATTCCCTCAGGATATGGATAGCGGTGAAACCCCGAGGAAACAATTACAATTCTTCCTTCTATGCCACTTTCACGTGCCGTTTTCTTCATAGTATCCAACAAAAGATTTGTCAAAAGAAAATGACCTGCAGAAAGCATTTAAAGGAATCAACTTAGTCTACTCGCTTGTTTCACAAGAAATCATTGAATTATTTATTATTTCTTAAAACAAAATGAGTACCCAGGTGATTTGTTGCAAACTGTAGCTCTATGTTGTCTTTGGAAAGCATGAACGGTGTCGCCATAACTCTTGCATTGTTACTTACAATAGAGAAGATAAAATCATTTCTATAATTTAGTAAACTGAGCAGGCCCAGGAGACACCAAGAAAGCTATGCATGAATGAACGGAAACCAAAATGTTCAGAATAGGATGAGACAAATGCGAAATATATATTGTCTACCATCAAGGTTCTTAATTTTCCTTACATTAAGAGGTTCAAGGGGCGGCCTGAGGAATTGAAATCAGATGCGAATTTCCTCACAGATGCCAGCGAGCTGAGGTCCAATTCCATGACATCAACTTTGGCAGTGGGCATTTCCTTAACCATTGCATCTTTGACATCTCTTCCAGAAGCCATGTTCCTGACCCCCATAATGACATGTACACCACGCAACGCAAGAACTCGCGCAGTCTCAGTGCCAATACCACTAGATGCTCCTAAAACCCACATGAAACCAAAAAAGATACAATCATAAAGTGGTAATACGAATTGCTGAATGTCTTTTGTAGGCTTTAAGTTTGTATGTTATGCATATCTTCATTTCTTGATGTAGCAATGCAATGACGTTATCTTACAGAAATCATGATTCAAATAGAAAAGACATATATGCATGTATGACCTGTGACAATGGCAGTGAGGCCAGAGGCATCAACCCCACGAGTGACTTCCTCTGCTGTTGAAGATGAAGAGAACCCAGATGATCCATTCCTGTTAAAAAACCACATGATGAGCAGAGCATGCAATGACAGGACAGCAGCAGCAGCCAGTAACCTTTCTTGAATAGTACGTACTGTAGTGGAGCAATGAGAGGCAATGGCCATGCTGCAGGCAAGCATCGTGACATCCTTTATTTGGCACCGCGGGAAGGGTCAACGTCCCTTGAGCTGTCGTTTCTACTTAATTGGGGCAGTTCGATACATTTGTCAAGCTAATTAAGAATTCATCACACCGTTTTTTTAGGTTGGAAGTCGTGAAGTTATAACTCTCTGTCTGGCTCTGTCGATAATTTATCTTCCGATTCATTTTTTTTAATTTTTTGCACTTTCATTCATGTTAATTCCCTGTCTTTGTCTGCATGTTGGCTAAGCTACCAAAGATTAACTCATCTATGTGATTAATTTTTTTTTTATTAATTTGGATGTTAAATCAGCTTACACGCAGCCTTTAATTCTTGAGCATACTAGATACCATTAGCTGGGTAGTTTTTTTTTTTTTTTTGCGTAAAAAAAAACATAAAAATATTTAAGTGTTGCAAGTGAATTAAAAAAAAATAATCAATGATTTAGAAGATAAAGTCAACTGAGTCAAGTAACTGGGGTTTTGTTTTAATTAAATGATAAAAAAATAACAATAAATGTACCAAATAAAAAAAATAATAAAATAACTTGAAAAAAAAACTATTTTGCAAAAAAAAAATAATGTAACTAAAATTCTAGTCAACCAAATATAACAAAAATAAATAAAAAAACAAAAATAAATCAATCCGAATTAGCATGATCAATTCTTAGCTGAGGTAATAAAAGTGGGATAACTTAATAGAATACATGTGGAGAAAAAAATCATAAATTTTAATTTTTAATAAATAAAATGTTGAATAATGAAATTAAAAAAAATTATACAAAAGGATCCAAAAATAACAATTGAAAAATTAAAATTAAAATTAAGATACAAAATAAATTAGAGGAAAACTAGTAATTTTTTATTAAGTGACAGAATTAAAAAAAAATTAACAAAAAAAATAAATGTTAAATTAAAAAAAACAACATTAATTTAAGACAATAATCTATAGAGAGTGAGGTAAATGTCTCTTTATTGGATGGATGAAAAGAAATTTAACGGGTGGAACAGGAATTAAGGAATTATTGCACCATTTTTTGGTTGAGAGTTGTAAATTTTAATAATCACTGTTGTTTGCTTGTGAGAGGTTACCCATCTAATCAATTATTTTCTCTGTTTACATCCTCATCTCTCTTTAATTACTGTGCGCTCATCCATTTGCAACATAATCTCCATGAATTAATACTCTGTGACTTTTATTAAATTATATTTTTGACCGGTCCCACTTGTAACCAACCTGTTAAATTTATATCTTGGAAGTATTGACTTGTTTTATTTTATGATTTTTCTTGTTTTGATCTTTTTCTTTTCTCTTTATATTTCGCATATTTGTCACTTCACACTTAATTTATTTATAATCTTTGTTTATTTTTCTTATCTTTGTTATTTTATAATTTTTATTTTTCTTTAATTTAAAAAAAAACTACTGTTATTTTTTCATTATTTTTTTGTTATAGTTATTGTTTTTTATCTTTACACTTGGCATATTTATCACAATTATTTTCATTCTTATCTTTATTCTTTTGCAATTTTTTATTTTTTTCTTTAAAGTTGTTTTAGAAAATTATTATTTTTATTCTTAAAATTTTAAATATTTATCACTTTATGCTTGATGTTTATATGTATCAACTTTCTTTTTTTATTAATGGGGTGGATGACAATCTATAATTATAGGCCCCGCACATGAGCCCTTATTATTACTTTTCTTTTTTGTTTTGTTGATGGGGCGGATAACATGTTCTCCTTTCCTTTTTAAAATAAACATCCCAACCATGTTTGTACTTTTTTTTTTAATTTTGTTTTTTAATTGATATTTTTTTAATATGTATTTTTTAAAAATAATTTATAATTTTTATTTAAATTATTATCCATTCTCCCTAATTCTTAGATTGCTTATCTGGCGTTTTTAAATAGCAATTGTTTTTTTTTGTGTGTGTATTTAATGTTTTGTATAAATTATTTTGTGTGAATTAGATTATTTCAATTTATTTATAATCTTTTTTATGTTTTATAGTAAACTTTATTCTTACAAATAAAAATTATTTGTTCTTTACAAGGAACAACGGCTTTAAGATAAAAAAAAAAAAACAAGGTGTATTAAAGGGAAAATTTGAGTTTAAATATCATAAATATTTATCTTTTACTTTTATAAGAATGACTATCTTTTATTTTAGAATTTCATTGTCATTGGTTCTTTTCCAATTCATTTTAGAATTTATTTTGTTTTATGTAAATAACATTTTTACATCTCTCGATCAAAAAAATCATGACACAATAAAATACACTCACAATATTATTTTTTTATATTAAAAATTAACTCGAGATTCTATACTTTTTTATTAATGCATATGATCATCATTTTATTTCTTTTCAATTCATAGTTATATTTTTTATTCGATGTCAAAAAACACCTATGCATTTATTTTTTTGTGTTAAAAAAAATTATTCGACCCAAGGCGAGTTGAATAGATGTGTTTAACATATATTTTTCATTTATTAACATAAATAGTTCTCAATTTATTTAATTAAATACATACGTCGATTATGAAATTTATTTAATTAAATACATACGTCGATTTTTTTTTTATGATTATGATTTTTTTTTTTGTAAAAAGATGTGTTAAAAAAACCTATATATTTTTTTTTTACTAAAAATTTTATTTGACTCGTGGTAAAGTACATGTCAAATAGTTAGTATTCATATAATCATGATACATAATACTTGCATCAAGTTCAATGTTTTAAGGAAAAAAAAATAAAGAATACCTTGATAAGTTATTTTTTTATTAATTAATGTATATATTAATAAATTTTCATGGTTTTAAAAGTATTGATTTATAGAGATTTAACTATACAATGAGAAACATTTTTCAAATATGTATTCGTATATTATACTAAAGTTATTATAATAGTCCAAACCAAAACCTAATCAATGTATTGAACTAATTGATTATGGTCAATTTGTTTTTTTAAAAAATATTCAAATAACATTATTTTAGAGATTGTTTATTTTTAAAATAAAATGGGTTTTGATTGGTCAACTAAGTCACAAGTTGACTCATTATATCGAACAAATCAAATCAAGTCAATTCCGAGTTTTTTTTTTAAAAAAAACCTAATGTAAGTTAGGGGTTATGTCAACTAGGCCCTAGAACACCTTGTTAAAAACAAACACGAGGTTTAATAACTATGTTATGTTCTCATTTTTAAGTATTCAAAAAAAGTTAGTTTAATTTAGTAATGTATACTAAGAACCATCTAAGTTCAATCAATTCATTAAAAGGAGGTTCAAGAAAAATATTTTTTGTTGTGTTTTCTAAAAAATCAATTTTAAAAAATATATGTATAATTAAAACCACTATAAAATAAATTTTTGTAGGCAAAATAACTAAAAAAAAAAAATTTAAATGAATGGAAAGTAAATATGTATGAGATCCAATGTAAAAAATATAAGTTATTTAACTAATTGAATGGTTTTTTTATAAAAACTGTCTTAGAAAAAAAAAACACAAATTCAATGGTTTTATCTTCTGAAACCCTTCTTTTACTATTGATTCAAACAAACCTTAGATTTAGAGAAGAACACTAGATATGTTTTTCGCGCTTCACTGCGGGTTGAATTATTTTTATGTAAAAAAGTGATAGGTAAAAAATAAATTCAAGTCTGAAGTTATTGGTTAAAGTGAAAATTTAAATGATACAAATAAATTAAAACAATAATAAATAAACTGAGAAAAAAAAAATCACACTTAAGCGTATTAGGATTATCAAACAAATCAATATTAATTTAATTGAAGGAACGTCAGGAAAAGAAAAAAAAGAGTCTAATCTAGATAAACTAAAAAAACAATGAAAAACATATCAACTTAAAAGAAAAGTAAAAAAAAACCAAGCAAACCTAGGTGAACCTTATAAACCTAGTCTAATATAAAAAACTTGCAATTTGTTAAACCATGGACTCGAGTTCAAAAAGAAATTTTAAATGTTATCCAATTTAATTTTGAGTGATAAAATTGTTGAAAAAACTATTAATAAAGAAACTTGCAAAGTAAAAGGAATAGAAAAAAAGAATGAGGCTAAAATCTGACAAGAAAAAATCCAATGAAGATGGAATTTGAAAAAAATAATTATCCCAAACAAAAAATTACAATTAATAGCTTTAAATATTAAAAAAATCTTAGAGGGTAAAATTAAAAATTATTTATAACATGATAGATTATTTGTAGATTAAAAATGACAGTGGTGAAATAAACAAAATATTGTTGAGGGCTAACCCAATATAATAAAACTGAAAAAAAAAATTTAAAAAGATTATTAAACAAAAAATATAACAAAAAAAGATTGAAAAATATGATAAAAATAAGAAAACATCAATGTAGAAAAAGGAAAAAAACAAAGCAAATTCGAAAAATTTCTTTAATCTAGTCTAATTTCTAAAATTCACATCTTGTGAAATTTCTTACCCATATTTAATCAATTACCATGATTATCAACCACTTTTATTTTGAAGAATGAGATCTATAGAAAAATATTAATAAAAAACATTGTAAAAACAATATAAAAAATAAGGATAAAGTGTGATATAAAAAACCCAATGTGAATGCAATTTAATGAAAAAAATAAACAATAATACCAAATGAAATAAATAGCAAATAAATGAATAAATATGAAATTTTAAAAATTAAAAAATAGGGGGTGAAAGTGAAAACATATGTAAAAACTTGTTAAAGCAAAAAAAAAGAAAATAAAAAATCCTCGAGTGAAAACCCCCGCAAAAAAAATCAAACACATAACTTAGGATATGAAATGGGGATGGCCCTATAAATAGGAAAGTGAAAAAAATTTCATAAAAAAATTCAAAAAAAAATACTTTAAAAAGATAGAAGTCAACTCGGGTTAATCTTTTAGATTTATAACCCAAGTTATGAGATTGTGATGATCTCATTAAAAGCAAAGCCAAAAAAATCAAAGAAGAAAGATTCATAATCAAACAAATATTGAGAGATAAGATTGAAAAAAAATCAATACAAAAAAAAATTAAAAGAATTAGGATTAAATTCAATATAAAAATTAAATGAAATTAAATATTTAGGGATGAAATTGTAAAAACAAAATCCATTAAAAAAATAATTAAAAAATAGAAATTAAAATAATTAGGAAAAAAAATGACATAAAAATTAAATGAAAACAAATGTTTAGTAGTGGAATTGAAAAAAAAACAAATCAATTAATAAAATAATTAAAAAATAGCAATTAAAATAATAAGTAGCAAATTTAAAAAAATAATTAAATGACTAAAGATTAAATTAAAAATAATCAATGTAAATAAAATAATTATAAATAAGAGAAGAAAGACTGAATTAAAATAAAAAATAAATAAAAGGCCGGGTAAGATTTTTTGCATGGTCAATAGGCAATTTGAGGAAGAAAGAGAAGGAAATGAAATAAAAAAAAGAAAAGAAATTTTAGGTCAAATTACGCCAAACTATCATACACAATATACATGCCAGTCAAGTAGGAAGAGAATGTTGAGACCGATCAAATAATGTGGTAGGATTACGATTATAATCATGAGAGTTAGATACGCGCGCCACCAGAAAGTGGTAAAACGATTGACACGTATCAATAATTTTTTTTTTTATATAAAACCAAAAATATCGTTAAAACCAAATAATAATAAGAAACAAACCATGATGAAATCACATTATCCTTATATCTAAACAATAATAAGAAACAAACCGTATGAAATCACAATGACACCTCTAAAGCTACGGTTAAGAAATCTGAACGACAAGGATAATAAAGTAGTTTAATTATTATAGCAAATATAAAAATACAAAAACGCTCCTATACAAAAAGCATTGGATTATTTTACTAAGGGTTATATTAGTAATTTTACTGCACATTAAAACATATAAATACCAAAATGACCTCACACTTTTATATCAGTTACGATTGTAATGAATGGTATTTTTGCATCCTGGGAGACCATAAAAAACCTCTATAAGAGTTGGTGTTCTAACATGGCTAGAAGCAGTCAGAAAAGAGGCCAGCGGTGTGAAGTCACGTAAAAGGGAGGGAGATTTTAGTGTTCGAAGGAGGGCAGTTGAGAAGTGAAGTCCCCAAAGCAAAGGGCAACCTGTGAGGTATGATTCATCACGATCGTCCAACGCTTAATCATGCCCCGTCAGGATTTCACTCAAATTATACTATGGTTGCGTATTTACTCGTTTGTTTTAATTTTCTGGGCCTGATATATATATATATATATAATATTTAGAAAATATTTGTTAGTGTGGTAGCGGTGATTAAGAGTATTTTTTATTTAGAAATATATTAAAATATTAATTTTTATTTTTTAAAAATTATTTACATTAAACCAATTTAAAAATATTTTAAAATTTAATTTTAAATAAATGTTTTTTAAGATTTTGCGAACAGGGTGTGTGTTCCCAAACACAACCTTAATTTAAGCAAGCAACTAAAGAGAAACACGTGCGAGGAGGAGGCAGCACTCACTCAGCGGGGAGCAGACAAACTCAAACAGCCCAGCACAGCACAGCACACAATATACCGAAGACAGCCACAGCGCACAGACCCAAACCAAAGAGACCAACAAAACAAACACCATACAAATTAAATTAAATTAAATTATATTTAGCTACATTCCATTTCTCAAGGTAAGCAGCTCCCTCTCCTCCTGTCTCATTCAATCTTAATATCGTTTTTATTGTTAATTAATTAATTAATTTTTTTTTTATCTTGTCTAGTTTCAATTTGTTTTCTTTTTAATCCATTTGTTTTTTAAGGCATTGCACCTCCAAAACAAAAAAATAATAGATGAAAAAAGAAACCAACTTTTCTTTATGCATTTAATAATAATTTATGAAATTGAATTATTATTATCAGCAGCAGAAGCTTCTTTCCTATTTTGGTGAGAAAAATGGAGGTTGGACATTTAGTGTCAGTCTGTTTTATTAAGATAAGATATCTAATGGGTGCTCCCTTTTCTTCTTGTTTTTATTTTTCATGATTCAAGCAAGTTTTGCTGATAAGAATGGTGATATCCACAGTGTTGTTGGGACTCAACAAAGTGTTCTTTTGGGAAGCTTTGGTGCAGAGTTTATGTGCATCTCTACAAGCTGTTGTTGTTTTGACGAGGAGCCTGCTTTTTTTATTGCCTTCCCTTCTCTCTTCTTTGTAAGGCCACTGCTGCTGCAACTCCCTTCCTTTTGTTTTTTTGAGTTTTAACCACATGCCCGAAGCTGGATTGGCTGTTGTGAAACCTGAGGTTTGTCTTTGTTTTAATCTTTTCCCCCTTAATTAGCTTCATTTGTGGTTCCTTTTAATTTGATTTGTCTCGATGTAGACCAGATTTCTAAGTCTTGATTTGGCTTCTTTGTTGGCAATTTGTTTGTGGGATGAATGGTTTCGCAGCAGGATAAATATTGCAGAACTTTTTGGTTACAGAAGTATGATTGTAGAAAATTTATAATTGGGTGGAAGTGGAACTCCTGGAACTTGAATTTCTGGATATCCAGTTCACTCCTTTTCTCTCTCCTATTATTTGTTCATTTTTAGCCTTGAGTTACCTTCTTTCTTTGATTTTGTTGTGGTTTTCTGTATGAAGATGAAGTCTTACATTTGGCTCCAAACTGCTGATGGTTCGGTCCAACAAGTAGAAGAAGAGGTTGCTATGTTTTGCCCCATGATATGCAGAGAAATTATTCAAGCTGGCATGGGATCATCCAAGAACCATGCCATATCACTTCCACAACGGGTGAATCCTGCCATTTTGGGCTTAATTCTTGATTACTGCCGGTTTCATCAAGCAACAGGTCACTCTAACAAGGTGTTACTTTCTTCTGTCTTTCATTTTCTTCTCTTGTTTTTCAGCTCCTGTAATTCTTCTGCTTTCTTAGATGCTATAGTTTCCTAGAACTCTAATAGAGGACACTGAAATTTTTGGGATTAGAGAAATGCCATCATCTCATATTGGATTTTTTTTTTGGTGTGTGTGTGCGTGCATGTGTGTTTCTGCTGGGAGTTGGGGTTGGGGAATGAACAGCATAGCTTGTGGATGATCAAGTCGAGTACTGATATTATTTTTGCTTCCTCATTCTTTTGTTCAGGAGCGAAAAAGTTTTGATGAAAAGTTCATTCGGATGGATACAAAAAGATTATGTGAGTTGACATCAGCTGCTGACAGCCTCCAGTTGAAACCTTTGGTTGATCTTACAAGCCGTGCGCTTGCTCGAATTATTGAAGGGAAAACTCCTGAGGAGATACGTGAAACATTTCATTTGCCTGATGATCTCACGGAGGTGTGTTGGCAACAATAAGTATGCTTACATTCTTTAGCCTGTGTGATTGTTTTTTCATGTAGATTTGGTTTTCTCCAGGAAGAAAAATTGGAGCCACTTGGAAACATAACTGATGATCCACGAATCCGGCTTCTAAATCGTTTATATGCAAGAAAGCGGAGAGAGTTAAGAGAGAGAGAGAAATTGAAGGTTGTTAACATTTTTGTTTGACTTTGTGTTGGCAGCTTTTCTTAGGAAAACTTTTTATTTAATTTGGTTGACCTTTGCTTGTATTGTCTGATTTTAATTCTGTAGTCATTATAGTATCGAACTCCTTATACCTGCACATCTTGTTATAATAGCAAATCGATTTTTCATATGTTCCAGAATGTTGATGTTGAGGACGAGCGTGCGGATAACCGCTCAGTTGAGGATCTCCTATCATTTATAAATGGTGAAGATGGAGGTATGTTTGCAAATGTTCTTCATCTTCCTGTTGAAGATGGTTAGCATCGTCTTCTGACCAAATTGATAGCATTTGAAACAACAGGCTTCTCCAGTTTCTTCAGACTTTGTATTGATATTCAACAATCAGTATATGGCTTAAAGGAACATTTGAGAGGATCAATACTTAAGTAGCCATCTTTTAAAGTTTCTGTGTCTTTGGAAACTTACCAGATGTGCTAACATTTGCAGATTCAAAGGGGGGTAGAAATAGTAAGAATAAAAAGAAAAACCGGAGAAGAAAAGAACAAGCAAAGTACTCCTCTTCAAACAATCCAAATGAAAACCAAAAGAAGGTTTCAATCTCTTTCTCAATCTTCGCCGGTGCATTTCCTTGCTTTATGGGAATGCTTTGCAGTAATCGTGTCATATCTAGTTTATTACATCATGAATAGCTTATTGGCACAGTGAAGGGTGCTTTTTTGTCATTGCTACTTTTTTGTTGTTGGTTGATGTCTCAGGAGTCGGACACGCTCCCTTCTGTTTCCCCTAATGATGAGGTTAACGATATTTTGGCTGCCTCTCCCATTAAAACTTCAAATTTTCAAGATTGTTCTGCTGTCACCTTTTCACCTAAGCTTGATTTTGATGACGCTGATATTGATGATGATTTAGATCCTGCAATGAAGGAGGAACTTGACAGGTTAATTGCTATGCTTGATTGTCTTCATTCACTCAACGAGTTCAATTTGTATCTCGTTTTGAGCAGCATTTCATGTGGAATTTTGACGCTGTTGAAACAGCAGTATATTTTAGACTGCAAAAGTTTGGTAAACCATATGTTTTTTGAGAGAGAGAGAACTATCAGTGCTTGCTGATTGAGATTTACTGTCTCTTTTAATTTTCCATAATACAGGGAAGTTGAGGACTTTGCTCGCAGATTAAATTCTGATTGGCCAGAAAGGATGCAGGAAATATTGTCTTTGGACCCAAAAAAAAGGCCTGTACCATTATCTATGAACGGCCATGGAACATCATGTGGATATTCAGGTTCTTTCCTACATTCCTTCTTTCTCCCCTCTTTTTTTTTGTTTTGGTTTCTTATGAGTATTTGCTTTGGTTATTCTGCATCTTGGTAGGTAGGTCCTGTTAAGTTGTCAGTGATGCTCACACTTTTTAAGAATTAATAGGTTATTTTGTGGCTAAACAACCCTGAAATCAGCAGCACGGGGAAAATGTTTTTGATTCCCCATATAAAGCAATATTTTACATGAATATTTTGCTCTAAATGAGGACTTCCATCGGGCATGGTCGTTGTGTTCATTGATAGACTTTGCAGTATAGCGAATGCGATATTTTATATGGATAACAGGTTTGGACCAGAGATAATGTAAGGATACTCGACCCATATTTAAAAATCTTAAGCAGCATGAGTGTTTTGTTAGACTTGATAGATCTAAATATATTTCTAAAATAATTTGCATTTAGTTCTAATGCGGAGAAATAAATAGATCAAAATATAACTCCTGCCATTGATGAAAAACACTCAATTTTTTTAATAAAAATTTTGGTATTTTTAAGCTTTGACATGCTCAAATTTAATGGTGTATTTCTGTAAATGAAAGTCTGTATTTCAGTGTGTGAGCTAAGAAACCAAAAGTCTGTATTTATATAACAAGAATTCTATTAAACTCGTATTAATATAACTCTGATGCCATTAATTTAGAAAATATTAATATGAGAGTTAATTAATTGGAGTAAATATTAAAGTTATTGAAAAACTGAATCTCACATTAATAGGAAAAAACATAACTTTAGCAATCTCTCACTTGGTCTATATGTTTAACTCAATGTTTTAACTTAAACCCCATCCTTTATCTTTTTTAGAAAAAAAATGCATGAATCATGGAGATAAGTCCTTTAATAACGAGTATTACATTCCATGTATTACAATGTATATAATTTTCTAAGTATTATTCTATATGTGACAACGTTACTTAACAAGTAATCCCTATATTTATTCTTGGTCCTATAAATATGAATTTTCTCTAATGTGCATAAATATGAGAAAAAAATCACAATAAATAGAATTTCCTTAAAAAATAAAGTAGTTCGAACTGCTAAAATAACATTATGGAACCAAGTTCCATTTTCATTACATGATCATTAAATTTAAACGGTAGGATGCCCTTGGTCAAAGGATTTGCAATTAACATTCCCATAACAAATGCAATGTCAAACCTTGTCCAAACTTGCTTTCTACAACAGGAGCATATGAAATGTTCTTGATTTTCTTTCCTTTCAAGATCAGTTTTTCAGCATTGGTTCAAATTGAACCTATCACTCTTCACCATGAGAGTTACATTTGATGAACAATCATTCATTCATGATTTCTCAAAAACTTTATTGATAAAGGTTTCTTGAAAACTAAAAACACTTTTAAATCTGTCTTTATAGATCTTAATATCAATGACATAAGATGCCTCACTCATATCCTTTATGTAAAAAGTTTTAGAGAGACTGTTTCACATCATGCAGCAAACCCTTATCACTAGCCACAAGTAGAATATTATCCATGTATAAAACAAGAAAATAAATCTTACTCCCATTGACTTTCTAGTATATACATTGACCCATGATGTTTTCTACAAATTTAAATGAAGAAATTACATCATGAAATTTAGAGTATTATTGTCGAGACGCTCGTTTTAAACCTTATATGAATTTCTTGAGCTTGCAGACCAAATGCTCACCATCACTAGAAGAGAATTCCTCAAGTTTTTTTACATAAACCTCCCCATCTAGATCTTTATTGAGAAATGTAGTTTTCACATTTATTTGTTGTTTTTATAAGTCAAAATGTGCTATTAATGCCAAATAATATGTAGAGAATCTTTCTCAGGTATTAGGGAGAAAGTCTTTGTGTAATCAATTTCTTATTTTTGAGTGAATCCCTTAGTAACGAGTCTTGTCTTATATCTTTCAATGTTGCCCAATAAGTGTATTTTTATCTTAAAGATCCATTTACATCCAATAGCTCTTACATTATTAGGCAACTCAACAAGATCTCAAACTCTTTTACTTTTCATAGAATTCATTTCTTTCTTCATGTTATTGTACCAAAACTTTAATTCTTTTAATTTATAGCATGTGAAAATGATTTAGGATTGTTTTTGGCTGCAATATTATAATCATATTCTTGTAGATACACAACATAATCATCAAGAATTGTTGATCTCTTTGTTCTAGTTGATATTTTCAATATTCTATCATCATCTTCTTGAGAAATATTTGGTTCAACTGGCTGTTCAGAAATTTTTGTTAATGCTTGAATTACCTAATCTATTGGAATGTTGTCAACAACTTGTGGAACTTCAACGATTGATCGTTCAACACCAATTTATACTTTGAGGATGTTATTAGTAATAACCAATTTATCATTTGATGTGGAAGGTTGTGATTTTGAATGATCCTTTTCAGAAATCATGTTCCTGATTTGATCGCTCTTACTGATCAAGTCATTTTCAAGAAACTTTGCATTTCTTGATTCTACAATTCTAGTGTTATGATGAACAACAAAATCCATACCCTTTAGATCTTTTAGCATATTCAGTGAAATACCCATTAATGGTCCTTGGAACCAGCTTTTTTTCTCATGGATTATACATTTTTACTTCAGATAGGCATCCGCAAACGCACACATGTCACAAACTCGGCTTCCAACCTTTTAATAATTCAAATAGAATTTTTGGAACAATCTTGGTTCGAACTCGATTTAATATGTACACTATTGTATTTAATAGGTAGATTGGAGTTGCTAAAAATACTCTGTGCCATGTCCAATAATGTTCGGGTTTTTTTTTTTTTTCCTGCCACACCATTCTAGTATGGTGAACCAGTTATGGTGTATTGGGCAACCATCCTATTTTCTTGAAGGAACTTTGAGAACGGACCAAGTTCTTGCCCATCCTCTATGTATATGCTATAATATTCTCCATCTTTATTTGACTGCACAATCTTAATGTGTTTCTCACATTGTTTCTCTATTCCCAGTACTTGCCTATCTTTTATGTATCTGCTATAGTATTCTCCATCTCCTTTTGACCTCACAATCTTAATTTGTTTCTCTACTCTCAGTACTTACCTATCCTTTGTATATTTGTTATAATATTCTCCACCTCTATTTGACCTCACAATCTTAATTTGTTTCTCATATTGTTTCTCTACTTTAGTCTTAAAAATCTTAAAGATATCTAATGCTTCGTTCTTGTTATGAAGTAAGTGAAGTTACATATATCGTGAATAATCATCTATAGAAAAGATGAGGTATTTCTAACCATGTGAGTTTATGTCTGGACTATATATATCAGTATGAATGATTTCTAATATGTATAAACTTTTATTGGTACCTTTCTTTGACTTGTTGGTTTGCTTTTCCTTAATGCAATCCACACAAGTTTCAAAGCTAGTAAAAGTATCCCATCATTTACTAATCTCTTAATTCTCTCTATGAAGATATGTTCTAATATCTAGTGCCATAACTAGAAGAATTCTTGTTAATAACACATCGTTTAATGTGAGTGTGAACATGTATTGAACTATAAATGATATTATTTCGTAAAGTAATGCAATAAAACTATCATATAAAATATCATTTCCAACACTATCAGATTTATAAAATAAACTGAAAGTTTCTGAAAACTTAATGAAATACCGAAAAAGTACACGTCTTGAAACTAAAATCAAGTTTCTGGAAAAACTTGGAACATAAAAAGTCATTTCCAACTCTAAATCAAAACCATTACCTATAATTAAATAGCATGTTCCTGTAGCCTTCACATGTGAACACATCTTGTTTCCTAAATAAATGTTTTGCTCACTTCTTATCAGTTTCCTTAGGTTTCGCATACATTGCAAGGTATTCGAAATATAAATTGTAGAATCAAAATCAATCCACCATGTATTATAATTAATATCAACCATATTAGATTCATAACAAACAAATGAGATAGAAATACCTTTCTTTTCAAGCCATTTATGAAATTTAAAGCTTTCTTTCTTCATGTCTTTTTTTTTTTTAACAAAAGAAACATGTAGATTTCTCCTTAATGTCAACTTGGAGGGGCATTTTACCTTTCCGTTTTCTATTGGCTCAAGTTTTGTCTTCCCCCCCGTGTTGCTAGCATTACACTTTCTCCTAGTTCCATTACCAACCTTCCTTCCTCTTAAACACACATGATCATGAGTTTATTGATTGATCATTTGTCTTTATGTGTGTTGTACAGAATCTTGAAAGAGTCATATTGTTGTGGGAGAGTATTCGAGATATAGTGCACAAAAAAAGATTCTAACATCTCAACCTCAAGCTTCTTTAATTGAGCTATAATGTCCCTCATTTGCATGTTGTGCTCATGCACACCTCTCATACTGATGAGTCTCATGGATGAGAACTTAATAATTATGATGCTTGCTAGTGACTTATCTACACTGATGAATTGATCATCAATTTCTTTTAGCAAATCACAAACTTTCTCAAGCTAATCAGCCAAACAACGTATACCGGTGGATATTCTAGTTTTTATGAACTTCATATTGAGACGATTAAATCACTCTTATTTTTCATAAAGTGCAATATCCTTTGAAATGTTGGTACTAGTAATTGCATGTTCATCTTTTCTAATTTGCATAATTCATATCCATCCATCCCATCCTAAATGAAGGATAACATTTTCCTTCCATACTTTGTAGTTATCACCTTTTAGATCGAAAATATTACAATAAATATAGGAGAAATTAACAGGTTGTATAATTGCAAAAACAAATTTAAAGTATGTGTTTATGTCAAAATTGATTAATAAATAAAATTCCATAATTTACCAATGTAATTCATGCTAAAATTGAATTTAATGACATAAAAATTGCATGTGGGCCAAAATTTTAATTCAAGCATATTCAAATATATCTTCAAATATATTATCAACTTATGTATGTAATTTATAATTTTGTGGGTATATATTATGAGAATAATTTGATATTCTATTATAAACCTTTCAATAAAACTATCAAATTATGTAATTAATTTATAATTCTTGCGGGTATATTATAAAAATAATTAGATATTTTATTTTAATCAATGATATAAATATAATACAAAATTCTTGTGGGATAATATTTATTATATTTAGTGTAATTAATTACGATTAATGTATGTAATTCTTTATGTGATCTTAACATAGCATAATATATAATTTTATTTAATTAAAGATGTTGTCGCTAATATCTAATTATTTAAAATCATGTAGATCACTGGACATTAAGTTAAGGCATACTTTTATATAAAATAAGATAATATGCTACCTCTGTTTTTTTTTTAATTCATAAAAGCAACACTAAATAAAACAAAAATAAAGCCATGAAAATAAACCACACAAAAAATAAAAGTGATAACCAGGCGAATTAAAATTACATAGACCAGACATTAAATGATTATAAAATGATTATAAACCATTATTTATGATAATTTATAATCATATAAAGCATTAAAACAATTCATAAAATCAAAAAACCCTAAAATGTTTATTTTTAACACATGGTTTTCAATTTATTCCTACCTTATTAGGCATGTTGATGGCAACTATTTCCTTTGCTACTAGGCATGTTGATGGCAAGGCATCATATTCATGGCATTTATTGAAACTTATTCCATCATAAACTAAACTTTCAAGCCATAAATAAAGTCAAGTTAATCATTAAATTTAATTTGAGAACAAAGGTTGTTCTTAAAAATTTTAGGGCATATAAAATACATGGAATAAAAAAATCAATTGACCACTTGAAAAATTTCATGACCAATATAATTAAGTAGGTTTATTAATTTCTTTGAGCACAAAAAGAAACTCCTGGACAAATACATCAACATGGATACAAGGGTAGATGTATTCTTGTTGTGGCTTTGATACCAACAGTTAGATTTAATAAATCTAAACATGTTTCTAAAACAATTTGTATTTAAATCTAATGCAGAAAAATAAACAGATAAAAAAAAATATACCTCTTGTCATTGATGAAAAACACTATTCGAGTTTTCTATTTTTTTAAAAAATATTTTTGGTGCTTCTAAACTCTACACTCATGTTTGATGGTGTATTTCTATAAGTAAAGGTCTCTATTTCAACGTGAGCTTAGAAATAAAAAAACTGTCTTTATGTAACCGGAGTTCCATTTAACTACTATTGATGTGCTATTAATTTATGAAATATTAATATGGGAGTTAATTTATTGGATCAAATATTAAAATTCTTGAAAAAAACAAAAAAACATAACTTTTAAGCTGCTGTCAGATGCCAGAAGAATTGAGGCCATTATCTGGTGTGTATTGCATGTGAGTATATTGTTTGTTTGACCCACCAAAAATGCAACATTCTTTCTGGGCATCTCGTACGTTCGAAAAGCTTAGAAAATAGAAGTAAAAAGAACTCAAGAGTAAACAACTTGAGCACAATACGCTCAGTTGTCTATATTCTTGCGCGTTATTGGCTTTGCTTGTGACTTCCAGCTGTTTTCATCGGCAAGATCCTGTACCTTCTGAAAAATATTGCTTCCACAGTTTTTGTTTTCCCATTGAATGTCATTCAAATTTTTCTCCTCATTTTTCAGAATGCTTCCTATCGGCTTCTTCATGAAGATCTCTAACCTATAGATAAAGATTTGGGGATATATAGTTGCTTATCTTGCAAATCCTTTGGGGACTCCGCATGTTCCTAGATGTTGCTTGGTGTCACGAGTGGAAGTGGAACTTTAATAGGAGAAAACTGGTAAAGTATTGATTTTTCAGTATGTGGTTTGTAATTATACAGTAAGACCTTCGTAAAAGCATACGAAATTTTTGTTCAGGGGTATTTGGGGACTCGATTTTAAATAGTGAACAGAAGCTGCATTCTCCTCCACGCATAGAATGTTTTGATGTTTTTCCCTTGTTGTGCTCTGTCACCTCTGCAATAAAGAGATCATCATCAGCTTCTTCATGATATCTTATGTGCTCGTTCTGTGTTGTCTGGTTCATAGATATCATTCAAGATGCTTTCGATTTCTGAAGAAGACATGAAAATGGGGAGCTAATGCTCTCATTTGCTGACACATGTTGGAGTTACATGAAAATCCCTTGCCCTTGTGAGATAAATTCGAGAAACTTATTGATTATCAAAGACATGTATTATTCAAAGTAGAATTATCTGGGGTGTCAAATGTCTCAGAGTTTACAATGTTTTATGTCTAGTTAAAGAAATAAAGATATAAAATAAACGTTGTTGAAATAATTTTAATAGAAGAAAATCCTTTCCGGTAAATGACAATTATAATTTAGCACTTCTTCATATGAATCATCTCAACTTGATATGAAAGTGAATTTTTTACCCATGATGTCACACTGACATACAGCACAGAAGCTGCAGAAATTAATATTTTAATGTTCTTTTTTTACTCCATTTTATATAGTGACCTACGAAACAAAAAGAAGGCAATTTAATCCCTGACCTTCAATCCAGTGTAGTACTTCTTGAAGGCTCTAGGGATGTAAACAAGCACCGAAAGGCCAGGTTAGCCACAGGAAGAGGTCTCCTAGTAGATCCTTCGTAATCCTGCTCCACCTTTGTGATCTCATTCCTCAACCAATCCACAAGTGTGAAAATCCTCCTTGAATTATAAAACACAGGCACAAAAACACGTATTGGGATCGAAAACCCATCTGAAAATGCCACTCCTTCCATGAAAACCTGCGTTGCTGGTGCTGCAGCTTTGATTCCTTCTTTATCCCCCTCGAAAATGCCTTCAAAGATGTAAGCTAGGGGGAGAAAGAGTCCAACAATAGCACCAACAAACACGTAGAGGCCGAGAATCTTGGTTTTTGGGTCAAAAACTAGAGTCACTTGGAGGGTTGATGGAATGCAACTTCGGAGAAAAAATACATGTAAATAATGGAAAAGACAACAAAATCAAAGTCTTGAGGGCTTACCGTGCCACAAAACCAGCTTTCTTTGAAGAGGTAGTAGTGCTTTTAGGGTTTTTAAACGGGGACAGGTCTTCTTGGAGTTTCTGTTCTTGTTCTCTTTCATTTGGAAGGCTTATGTCACTACATGTAGGGTCAACACCACCTGACATTTTGCTGTAGTTTTTCTTTGGCTAATTTGTGAGTGAACTAAGTAATGTACAGCTAAAAGAGGAAAGGAAATGGAGATACGAGCTCGAGCGGTGAAATTTAAGAGGGGAGAGAGAGATGGGAGATATGATGAAGGAAGGTGTGAGGCAAGTAGAGTGCACAAGTGACAGTTTGTGAGGAGTTTAAGGTGGAGAACTACTTGGCTCGTATTAGTGTGGAAATCGGGAGCATGGTTTTCATCTTCTTGGTCAAAGTGTTCCCAGATTTTAAGGCTTTAGATTTGCGCCTTGTCACTGTTTCAGCTCTTGGTTCTTACCGATGCAAAAGGCTAGGTTTCGATGCTTAATTGTCCGTGTTTCCTTTTCTGTAGTGGTGGTGCTACCGGCTATGAGATTAGCAAATGTAATAGCTGAAGTTCAGCCATGGGTGATCTTAAATCCCGCCATGCATGTCACCGAAAATTCTTGTAAGAAATTCGGTGAACTTTAATTAAGCTCAGGGGTACCTGGCAACCTATCTTTTTTTCATAAAAAGGAAAGAAATTTTTAATATTTAATATCATTCAAGTAATGTCTTCATCCCTGTACAGATTTTTTGTCTTCATCCATGTACAGATTTTTTGTGAAGAATTGATTGAACATGTAGGTTTTCAATTTGCTCAGTTGGATTTAGAAAGCCCTATTCCATCAGTTTCAAGGATGCTATGCGTCAAGAATCACCTAGATCAGTCTATATCAACTAATGAACAAAGGCCAAAAATGAATACATAGCTACTTTTCGCTAGTCCACATTTAGGCTCCATTTTTCTGCTGAATAGTTGCCAGGCCACCAAAAAGGAATCCCACGAGGAGGAACGAAGCAATGCCAAGAAAACAAAATTTATTACACAAAAATTTGGACTATTAATCCAAAAATACCTAAGTTTAGTTTTCTATGACAGGAAAAAAAAAAGGCAGAATAGCCAAAAAGGGCGAAACCTTTCTTCAACTTTCTGACAGAAGACCATCGGTAAAACTGGAACCTCTGCTAAGAATGCAACAATGATAATACTGTGCACATCCATAAAATAAAAATATCCCTTTCTCTTCTCCATCTTATATTAAATGATCGTTCTTTGTTTCGGTATATACTTTAACTTGACACCATTATCAGGCTTTGTTTTATACTTGGCTCTACCAGCTCCAGAAGTCAAAGGCTCCTGTGCCTCCACATTAACCAACTGATTTTCTGCACTGCTGATATCGTTGTGCTTACTTGTATCCGATGAATGATTTGTAGCAATTTGATAGTCTGGGGATAGAGCCAATTTCACATGTTCAGCAGCAATGGCCTCCTTCCACCCTACAGGAGATATATAGCCAATCAGATTGAGAAGAGGCCAAGCAAATTAAGCTATGAACATATAAGAGCAGAATGATGACACAATATGGTGGGAAAAGGACTATACAAGTGCAAGTGCAAACAAATATGAACTTACTCTCTGCAAGAAAAGCCCTTGCTTCATGGCTTGTAAGCTGCAAGACTCCTGGTAGAAGCCCTCCAGGTAAGGAACCATTTTCCATCCCACCAAAATTATTGTCCATGGCACATGATCTTAGAGAGCTGTCATTGAAGTTCTGATCCTCACCCTTCCCATCAATGTTGTCATGTTGGCATTCTCTTCTGCCATTTTCAACTAGCATTAGATCTTTCGATCCATTTCGACTAACAGGCCTCCAAAGCTTTACTGTTGAATGATTTGTGCCATATTGAACCGAATCAGGTCTGTTGTGCTTCTCCTGCACATTTTTCTTCTTTAGAATTTCATGGTCTACCAGGCAATCATCTCGGGCTCCATCCAAATTGTTACCTTCATCATGGCTGCAATCTCCAAGTGTGACCGATATAGAACCGATCAGAACCTCCCCCTTCTTATCATGATCCAGTACGTTTATTACTTCCTTTTGCATTCTAGCTTTCAAACTCTCCCCATTATATTCTGGTTTAGGTTTTCGGCTCCATTTTCTGTTGCCATTCATTACAGGTCCAGGCTTAAAATCCCTTTGATTTCCATGCTTCTGTATGGTGCCAGGTTTTGGGGCGTGAGAATTTTGATTAGCATGGAAACCATATGACAGATGATTCCGCTGTGATTTTGAAGGACCATGCCATCGAGCAACAACAATATGCATATGACTCTTTCCTTGTAACATCGACCGTCCACCACCACATCCCATCTGATTTTCCAAATCAAAATCTTCATCTGTTCTTGGTAGTTGTAAGGGTTCAAGAAATGAGGGAACATCATCTGGCAGAATCTCTGAACCAAGCGTATCAGAATCAGATATAGCCAAAGGACAGGATTGTTCAGCTTGAGGCACAGCCTCCAGCATGTCTTCGATACACTCCTTATCATCTAGCCTTTGCTCCTTCTCTTTCTGTTCTTTGAGCCTCAGTTTTTTCTGCCTCTTCCTTTCCAGGAGTTCAACTTGCCTTCAAAATTTAGGAAATATAATGAATAAAATATGTTTAGGGAAAGCAAATTCAAGAGTCGAGTTTTTCGAGCCCCACAGTAAAACACAAAAAAGCTCTTGGGTAATGGAACATCTATAATTCTAATGCACTGAAGAGGTTTGTTTTAAGAATTCAGGTAGTACTGAGGAAGATATTAGGTGGTGTAATATCTGAGCAACACCCTGATGGTTGAACAACTATCCTTAAACTGGTTCCATAACAGTTCAATGGACAGTCCAATTTTCAGGAGATAGGTTTGAGAGCTTAATAGAAACTAAGAAAACAGCAGATCCAAGAAAATAAAAATCCTGATGAGACAAAAGAGCTCTTATCAGTGTCTGTCTCTACTTTATGATGTGTTTTTTACACTGGAACCGTTTGATATTCTTTTACTTGAAATAATGAATCATGTAATTTCCATGAAGATTAAACCATGAGCAGCTCCAACCACAAATGTCAAGTTCATTAAGAGTAGAATCACAAACACTCAAACAATCAAAAGAAGAGAATAATCACCAGGAACGCTTCATTCACTCTCAAATGATCATAAAAACCTAACACGAAAGAGCAAAACAAATCTCCTCCTGAACTTTTTTTCTGATTATCTTAATTCTTGCCTTCCATCTTAATTTTTTCTTTCCTGTATGACATCATCAATGGATCCTTGGATATGAAAAGATTCTAATAACTATCAAAGATAAACAATTTCAAGAGCAAACTATACTTGCAATATAAGATACAACATAAAGCAGCATCATAAGTTCAAGATATAAGTGTGAACTTAGGTTGCACCTTCTCTGTGCAGCCTCCTCCTCCTCCACAAGCAACTTTTGGCACCTCAAAGCTTCTGCATCCTGGTCTGCAAGCCATGCGTTAATCTGAATACAGAGAATCACAAATGCAAGAGCAAAGTACATCAACACATTTCTGAATGCAACAGTGCATAAGGAACGTCTGTGGTGCATGCATCACCAAAGCACTGGTTTGTTATGATAACTGGAACTTTGGAAGTAACTGAGCCCAAAAGAATGAAAAGAAAGGAAAGAAAGATACCAATTTCTGTTCCACCACAAAGCTTGTGCAAGCAACTATATTCTTTGTTTCAAGCCCAATCTTCCCAGCCCCACCATCAAAAATATATTTTTGTATTAATACAGCTGTTCCACACAATAACGTTTTCTCACTTGCATCATCAAGAATACTGAATAGCTGTCCAGAAGACAAAGGAAACCTGGAGGGCCTCCCCTGGACAAGATCCTATCATGAATGAGGATACATCACATTTTTAGGATAAATAATATGGCAGATGAAAACTACACAAAATCCAGAGGAAAAACAATGACAAGGGAGGATGCTCCCTTACCAAAAGGGCAGAACCAGCTCTCCAACAAGATTGAGTAAGTGAAGAGATCCCTGGTTTCCGGATAACTGTCATCAATGACCTTATAATTGAAGACCCTGGAACTTCCTAGTAAGTAATTAAAGAAAACAGGGAAAATGTTTACAAAATAATTATAGAATGACAATAGATTGCATTGAAAAGAAAAGGCAAAGACTCCAACTCCAGATGTTTATTAGTCAACGTATAAAAATATGGAACAAATGAAGACACTCAGCAGCTAATATCACTAACTCAACTGAAATCAATATAATATACCTCAAAAGTCACGTCCTTGAATGATAAGATTTCCTTTGCCTCATCCTCAGAGAGCTGAACAAAAGTAAAAGATACTAAAATGCTGCATAAAGAGGGATGGGTTCAGCCAAACCTTCCTAAGGGGAAAATACTTTACCTTATCCCAAAATGCTCCTAACAAGTCCCTATTTTTGGCAGAATCCTACAAGGAAAAACAAAACATCTTTCAGAGCAATTTATTGCATGTAAATTAACAATGAGAGTAGCTATAAACAAAACTATTTGATAGGCAAAATCAACATTGAAGGAACTGAACATCTGACCATGATGAACACCAGATTTACAAGTTCCAAAACGCCCAAAAAATGTTTAAGCAGCAGGACTAATGAAAGAACAGGCATGTCTGTGAAGTGAAATGAATGAAACCTTATCAAGTCTTTTCAATCGATGATGAACCCGCAAGTGTCTTCTATAGTTAATGGAAGAACAAAATTCTCGGGAACACTTGCTGCACTTTTGCATCTGCGCCTTCAAAGGAGTGAGCAAAGGCCAACCTGGGTAATCTGCGAAAATGAAAACCAAGGAAATCAACAAGTTGATTCAATGTCAAACAACGCCATATGCCAACCTTGACCCAAAAACCCACCGACTGTATCAAGAAGAAACCACTACTTATGAATTATGATTCATTTAGACAATATCTGGTACCTGGTTGATCGAGAGCATGGAGTAATTGGATCCACTGAACAGGGTTATCATTCGGCCTTGAAAAAGAAAGAAGCGGTTGTTTTCCAATGGCATCCCTGATGAATGTATCTAGGGAAGAATCATTCCCCTCACCCGGTCTCATCACATCAATAATACTGCTCACAGGTTTCACAACTGGCATTTAACACAGCAACTGCACGCAAAAAAGAAGAAGAGAGAGTTAAGAACTGATTCAAAATACTCAATTTACTAAAAGGGAAATGGGCTCTAGATCAGAAACACGAAGGATAAAAAATGACAACACTTCCATTTCTATGGCATTCATAATGAACTTTCCATAGAAACACATAAAGATTAAAACTTTTTCAAACTGAGAAAGACTATTAAACTCAATAGCAGAAATAAATGAAAAATTACAGCTAAACAAGCCAAAATCAACATATATTCAGTACCAAATCACCATAAAAATTATAAAAACCAAAAGGGCATCACACAAAATTCAAGAAATGATGCTTTATATCTGCATTTTTAAGAGACCCCACAATTCAGAATTCAGTTTATCAACAGCTAAACCGCATAACATAAATTAAACACACACACAAAACCCTTTTTTTCCTAAAAAAAAATAGCATAGTTTACGCGGTCTGTGATGAGTTCTTGAAGGTGACGTACCGAGTGAAAAAGTTGAAAGAGAGAGAGAGATCGGAGAGATTTGAATTCGCCGGGAGAGGGAACAGAAAAGGTGATGAGATTGATGATCGGCCGATTAAACAACAAAACAAAGGAGGAAAAAAAAAGCGAGAGAGAGTTTTGATGAAGAGAACTGGAAGTTAAAAAAAAAAAAAAACCCTGCTTTATATATATATATATATACGAGGCAAATATAGAACCTTGTTTCCTTCTTTCTTTTCGAGGAAGCACCAAGCACCAAAATTAATTTTTAATCAATTCTTTTTATTTTTATTTAAAATAAAACAATGAAATTGATTTAGGATTAGGATACCCTGTTTTTGCTCACATAATTTGATTACCTTTTCACTTCTGCTCCTGTAGTTATCCTTATGATTATTTAAGAGGTGATGATATATTTCATTAGGTATTAAGGGATTGGGACGTTGCAATTTTTCGAACTCTAGGGGTGATGATAAAATCTTGTGTGCTATAGGAGCAGAAATAGAATGCTAATAAAGTTTGAGGACTAGAATGAAGTTTATCTATTAATATATGACATGATCGTGACATGTGAAAATTTCCATCACGCCTGGCGAAGAGAGAATGGATGACATCATGTGATAGACGAGCACAAGAAGCCCTATGTTGTTCTTTAATAATTAACTTTTTATGTTAAATTTAAAAGTTTATCAAATAAATAAAAAAATTATATATATATATAATTAATTAATTATTAACAATAACTAAAATTAAGAAATAAATATAAATTAATATTTTTAATTTCACAATATAATATATTTATCTAATTATATTTACTAACTTTATTTATTAAAGTTAATTTTTATTTAATTAAATAATAGAAAAAATAAAAACACATATAAAATTAGTTGAATAAAATCAAAAGAACAGAATATCTCATAAGAACATATCATTCAAAAATGATGTTTAATTATATAAAACATAAAAAAATTGTACATGACTTATAATAATCTCTTCAAAAAGTAATTACAAACAAAATAATTAAAAAAACAACCATTACTTAAAAATGCTGAATACAAAACACACAAAAAAAAAGTATTAATTTTAATATAAATAAAAAAAAATTATTTTAAAAAAATATAATTATTTAAAAAAAACATAAAAAAAAATATTAAGAGTTACTAAACCTGGCTTATCCAAAAAAAAAAACCTATGTGGAGACCGTTTAATATAATTACGTCCCATTATATTAAAAAAAAATAGCCAAACAACAACGTTGTGTTATATAATATTCCCTAGATTTTGATTACTATTGTGATTAAAAAAACAAATTTTATATTTTTGATATAAAAACTCATTTTCAATATATTTTTTACCCAATACATTTAAAAAAATATATAAAGACCTTGAGAAATTCATAATTAGCTTTAAAAAAACACATCAAAAACTAAAATAAACTCAAAATGAAAGTTTTTCCCTAGCTCGAAATTAATTTTTTTTTGGCAATTTCAAGGTATAAAATATATAAGTGAAACTCCATTCACAATTTTGATAGCCAAACTTGTTGTCAATATCATTTTTATAGTTGTGATTTGGTTTAAAAACACAAGTTTAATAAAAATTATAAATTGCAACTTTTTTGTCAATAATATTTTAAAGATTTAAAAATGAATTTTCAATAAAAACCCATGTAAAATCATGATATATATTAAATAATTAAATACTTTTAAAATTATAATTGAAACAAAATAAAATTTTAACAATACCTCACCACATTATCAATAAAAAGTAATGGACAACGATGTTTTTTCTTGCTATTGGCATTTTTGATATTTTCCTATGAGAGTTGCAAAGATTCAAAATTCTTGGATTGTAAACAAATGGAGGGCAAATAATTTCATTTCTCTCCCATACAACCTGTATGATGATGTTTCAATCTCAACCAAAACACCAACTTGAAGCAAATATGCATTCATCTTCAGCATTTCAATCACTTCATTTCTATATATATCACCATATGTGTTCTTGTTCTATACATCAGGCATGTCCATTAAAGTTGAGCCTTTCAATCAAAAACTTTCAATAGCTATCAACAAGCATAGTGTAGTGTTTAATTGCTCTCTGTCTTTCCTGTAATGTTAAGTCCAATCAATTTCACAAATGCTGACGCCACTCAAGAATCGCTTGATGAAGAGCATGGTTAGGGAGTAGATTACAGTGCTCAAGTTTAAGATTTGTCATCGGTGAAGTGTCGTGTCCGCTCTTCAGCCATCCTCTAATAGCCTCTGCTTCATATGTAAAACCATCTGCAGCAATCTGTGGATCATCCATGACTTCCTGCAAATCCAACATAACAGCCATGGTCATAACTCAAAAACAAAAATGCTAATATGAGAACAGTGGGATTTGCTTATGTTTCATGTTTAATTTTTGCATAAATACAAATCTACAGTGATCAAAGTGAGGGAGCATGCTCAGCAACACCGACCCATGGATGTTATTATTACCTGAAGAATAGGACAGACAAAATGAGATGGAATCCGACTTGGCTCCTTAGGTCCTGAATCAATTCCTGAAGTCTTCATTGGCTCAAGCACTCTCAAGATTAACACAAGATCTGGCCTATCAAGTCGGTTCTTTTCACAGCACCTCAAGGCCAAGTTAGCTAACTGTTCGGCTTCCTCAAATGGCCAATCCCCACCAGAACAGTCCAGCAGTGCTTTGAAATTATCTTTTTCTATTGCACATTTTACTTCTTTCAATATGTCCAAACCAGCTCTCCCAGTCAAAAGCTGTAACAGTATAATTCCAAAAGAGTACACATCTGACTCTGGTGTAAGCATCCCGGTCTCAAGATATTCTGGATCAATATACAAAGAGGTGAAATTGGGGTTGGATTTATTACAAATTCCATTTAAGTTTGAACTGCTTTCACTTTGTGGGATCAAATAAAACATGCCAAAGTCAGTAAGTTTACTGACAAAGTTAGCATCAAGGAGGACCTTGGATGCTTTTAAATTCCCATGTATGATACAAGGCTGGTTAGAGTGTAGGAAGATAAGGGAAGAGCATATCTGGACAGCAATGCGTATCCGAGTTTGCCATGGAAGCGAAGGCATCTTGTCTTTGCAGAAAAGGTTATCTTCAAGGCTTCCATTTCGGACATACTCGTAGACAAGTGACCTAGACTCTGGACAGGTTCCAACTAACATTACAAGGTTTGGGTGCCTCACTCTACTAAAAATCTCCACCTGAAATTCAACAAAGCAGAAAATCCATGGTCAAAAAGTTATCTGATTCCTTCATATGGCTTACCATTTTCATGCTACAGTGACTCAAATTGCTGGACCATGAATCATTTTACACACACAGACAATCTGACTATAGCTCTCGCAGGATGTGATCTGTTTACAAACCAAGCACCTGTGGGATGCATATTTTTTAGCCCCTCAATCATTTGTTTCTTCACAAATTATTTTAGATTCAATAGCTCTCATCCTGGTCTGATATACAAATTGAGCAGATCTTTGAAACAATATTGAAGATATATATCGAAACTTCATAACTATAGGTGAATGGAGTAGCAGATTAAGCAATAATCTCATGGCCAACAGAGGGAAAACCTTAAAAAAATAAAAACTAGCAAGTTTAATTTTATTTCTTTGCACAAGCTTTAACTTTAATCTCTCAATTATCACCAATCACATGTCTCATCATGATTGATTGTTTCAAGCAATGATTCAGCGGGTGTGTAAATAAATTGATGGTTTTATAGAGATGGTAAAACATACCCCATTTTGAAAGTCCAAGAGGCTTTGAGAGCTGTAAGATGGAAACATCTTGATGGCAACAAGGAGATGGCGAAGGAGCCCTTTGTAGACACTTCCATATTTTCCTTCACTGATTTTCCAGGACGGATCAAAATAGTGAGTTGCTTCATTGATTTCCATAAAAGAGAGTTCAAGGATTTCTGACTTGCCGCCTGCAGCTGCTGCTATAGCTGATCTTTTCAGCCTTCTAACTTCCTGTCTTGCATTTTCATACTCCACCATTGCTGCATCCCGCCTTTCCTTAAAACTTATCAGGAGTTGCACAGCTGAGATGATCTTCTGCTCCAACTCCTCCACTGTATTCTGGGACTCTGCAATTCGGCTCTCAAGTGCAAACTTGTGCTCCTGGACCATCTGGAGTTCTTTTAAAAATTCATCACGCTGATTCTTTTTCTTTTCCACTTCTTGCTTTCTTCTATTCAAGGCTTCCTCCATTTCTTTTCTTAGGCTAATCTCCTTAATGCATAAGTTTTCTAATGCTTTGGCCTGTAAGAGTATAGGATGACAACAAAGTTACTGTAAAAAAAAATGTTATTTTCCAATATTCAAAAGAAAGAAACATAGAACCTTAATTAGAATATTCTTTGCTAAAATTTGGAACTTCTCTTTTCCTAGGGAAAACAGAGGTATAGAACGTAATCAAGTCTGAAACAATAATTTATGAACTCAACAGCACCAGAAACTCAATAGCAAAAGATGAAAAAAAGAAAAGAAATAAAAATTTTGCCTTGCATTTGGCCTCCATAACATTGTCTTCCTCTTTCCATCGCTTTACTGCCTCCACAAGAGCCTTTTGCTTTGAGTCCTTGGTATCCATAATTGCTTGTTCCAATCTAGAACATGTTTCTTCAGTTGTTTGCATCTGAGTTTTTTCTTCCTGCGAAAGCCATGGAGCCCTATAACCTTATGAGGTGGTTTAAACTAGAATCGAAGAATTGGCTTTAGTGACATCTATAAAGACCACATGCATATGTACAATGTATTTGTAAGATAATTCTTTGTGTAATCCTCAAGATGATGACCTCAAATTCAGCCTTATCATGTCAAAGTTCCTGGAATTCAACAATTCTGATGGTAGCTCATTGATTTCTTATGTTCTCTATTTCTATATGAACATAAGAATTTTTTTAATGAAAAAAAAAAGATTTTATAAGAATGAAGTATTTGAGAGGTTATTGGGGAATAGGACATCTTCCAATCCAACAAAACAAATCTTAAAACACAAAATCAATATATAAGGGCATTCCATTTACTCTGAATATCTGCTCCAGAAGTGCCACATGGAAGCAAGGAAACATGTGAGATAAAATGGTTTACTGTATTAAGATCTCATGCCATACCAT